CTGACTTAATCCTTCCCTCTTCCCACGCCCCCTCCGGTAAGTCACGCCCCCTTCCTTAGCCCCCCCACCCCTTCCCTCCCTGACTCAATCCTTCCCTCCTCCCCCTCCACCGCCCCCCCCCGCACAACCCACGCCCCCTCCCTTCGCCGCCCGCCCCTTCCCGCCCAGACTCAATCCTTCCCTCCTCCCACCCCCCTCCGGTAAGACACGCCCCCTCCCTTCGCCGCGGCGGGCCCAATCAAGGAAGAGGAAAAACATCGAAGGAAGGAAGGAAACAGAGAAGGAAACATGGAAGCAAAGAGTGAAGGAAAGAAGGAAAGAGGTAGAGAAGGAAGAAAAGAGAGAAAGAGGAAATGAAGAGGGATGGAAAGAAATGGGTAGAGAAAGAAGGAAGGAGATAAGGAAAGAAAAGGAAGGAAAGAGGAGCGAAGGAAGAAGAGAAAGAAAGAGAAAGAGGGGGGAAGGAAGGACAGACAAAAGGAAGAATGGAAACAAAAACCAAAGGAAGGAAGAAAGGAAAGAGGCAGAGAAGGAAGAAAGAGAAAGGGAAGGAAAAGAAAAAAGGAAGAAGGAAAGAGGAAGAGAAGGAAGGAAGGAGAGAAGGAAAGAAGAAAAGGGAATGAGGGAAAGAAGGAGAGAAAGAGGGAGGTAAAGGTGGGCCACAGCAACGCGTGGCCGGGTACTGCTAGTAAGTAGATAAATAACTTGACAAGCTTCATTTTAAGATCACAGACTTCTTGATTATCTGTAAACGAACCAATGAGCAGAGTCACTCTTTTAGAGTAGAATAATTTTTATGCACCGTTCTTTAGTTTGTGAAGTCGCAACATACTCTTGTAGTATCAACACTTTCTTTATTGTGTCTTTTCTTACTTTCCTTGTGATGCTGGTTTGAACTAAATGGGGGAAGCGAGTTGCTTATCTCATTGCAACTTCTCCTTTTCATTACTTGTTTAATACGCTCTTTAAATCTAATTGTGTTCTTTTAGTAGGATGTGGTATAACCTTGGCGTGCCGTGAATGAAAATCCAGATCTTCTGGATGATTTTTCTTTTAAAAAAGCAGATACAAAAGTAGTCATTGAGAACTTCACAATTTCAGCAGCAAATGAGGCAGAAAGTATGTGCCCCGAATCGCAGTAACTGAGAATGAAAGAGGAGATGAGGGGTGGGAAAGGGACGTGGAGATGAAATCCAGCCAATGGCAATAAATATTTAATCTCGTTGTAAGTATGCAGATTAAAAGCTTTTAGTTTTAAAAGCAAGCATGCTCTTTAAGTTGCCGCACTAATAACGTTACCCTTGACAATGCCAGAGTAGAAGTGGCAAGCGTCCAAAAAGATGTGCGACTGCAAGTCCAAGTGAATTGGATTCTCTTGATAGTGGATCATGTTTATGTCTTCATTAATGCCCTGAGATTTCAAACCTACTGTGTAAGCAGGACTGTTTCCCTGAAGGCCAGGTTAATTTAGCACTTAGTGATAACTCTTTTAAATGAGTATTTATTGGCTGAGAGTGATGCAGAGTTATGTGGTATGTGCAACGTTTCTGATGCTACTCACTGCAGGGAAGAGGATAAGTGACCTGGCATGGGCTAGCTTCATATTTCTCATCAAGTCAGCTTTCAATCAGCTAATCATCATAGAATCCTAGAATCAAAGAGTTGGAAGAGACCTCATGGGCCATCCAGTCCAACCCCCTGCCAAGAAGCAAGAATATTGCATTCAAATCACCCCTGACAGATGGCCATCCAGCCTTTGTTTAAAAGCTTCCAAAGAAGGAGCCTCCACCACACTCCGGGGCAGAGAGTTCCACTGCTGAACGGCTCTCACAGTCAGGAGGTTCTTCCTCGTGTTCAGATGGAATCTCCTCTCTTGTAGTTTGAAGCCATTGTTCCGCGTCCTAGTCTCCAGGGAAGCAGAAAGCAAGCTTGCTTCCTCCTCCCTGTGGCTTCCTCTCACATATTTATACATGGCTATCATATCTCCTCTCAGCCTTCTCTTCTTCAGGCTAAACATGCCCAGCTCCTTAAGCTGTTCCTCATAGGGCTTGTTCTCCAGACCCTTGATCATTTTAGTCACCCTCCTCTGGACACATCACCAGGCTAGTACTCCGCTACGTTGTCCTAATGCCTGATCACCGTCTCCCAAAGCAGTTGCTATTCTCCCAACTCAAGAATGGGAAACGTAATATTGGTGGACAGGAAAAGAGACATAAAGATGGGCTTAAAGCCAATATTAAAAGCTGTGGCATAGACACCAAGAAGTGGGAAGCCCTGGCCCTTGTGTGCTCTAACTGGAAGTCAGCTGTGACCATCAGTGCTGCAGAATTTGAAGAGGCAGGAATGGAGGGCGAAAGGGAGAAATGCACCAAGAGGAAGGTGCATCAAGCCAATCCTGACCGGGACCACCTTCCACCTTGAAACCAATGTCCTCAGTGTAGGAGAACATGCGGATCAAGAATAGGTCTCCACAACCACCTATGGACCTACCACCAAGACGCTACACTTGGAGGAACATCATCCTCAGACTATGAGGGATCGCCTAAGGAAAAGAAGTACTGGGCCATAACTGAGGGTTTGGTTTGTTTTCCGTGTCAGGAGCGACTTGAGATACTGCAAGTCGCTTCTGGTGTGAGAGAGTTGACTGTCTGCAAGGATGTTGCCCAGGGAACACCCAGATATTTTACCATCCTGTTGGAGGCTTCTAGCATGGGAAGCTGAAGCTGACAGACAGGAGCTCACCCCGCTCCCTGGATTCGAACTGCCGCCCGTCGGTCAGCAGAGTTATTGGGATTTGTGTACTTATTTTTTTGTTGTTTTTTTTTTGTTTGTTTTTTTTTGCTCCTCATTGTTGGTGGGATGCTTTCTGATCTCAGGGTCTCACCTTCTGGCACTGTCTTTTGCTTCATTTTGGATTGTCTCATCATAAGATTATCAAGAAACATTCAGACTGTGGATTATACATTCCTGGACAGAACCACAAACATGAGCAAATGTCAAATGCCTTGGGATCCTTCAAGTATGCTGATGCGTACTTTCAGTAATACCTGCTTTCTTAAGCTTTGCTCTACTATTTGAGTTTCTTTAAATGGCTATTCCAGCTATTGAAGTTGGAAACTTTTATACACAAGACGTAAACTTTGCCACTTGATTCTGGCCCAACCCTGTACCACAAATGCCCTTGCTTTGTTTTCTTCAAGCCGCTACTTCACTTCTTCCTACTCAAGTTAATACAAAACTTATTCAGAGAAAAGCATAATGGGCTACCCTTGCAACAATTAGTTCCTTCTCCACAGGCTTCGTTGCGTAAAACCATCCAGCTGCTTGTGTCTTTCCCCAGGATGACTTTTCCAAAAATCCAGTTTCTTTGTGGCTTAATATACTCAGTTTCATGCCCTTTGAGTTGTCAAAAGCAAATTCTAATGTTTCCATATCCAGCCACCTGAAGAAACAATCTTGCTGTCCTGCAAAAAACTCGGTTTAAAAATTAATGCTGCCTGAGTGAAGTCGTGCTAGTAATCCATTGATTTTGAATTGTTTTTCTGTCCCTCAACCATGGTCCATGGAATGGATGCTATTTGTTCTCCAGCACAGAAAGCTTGAGATGCACAAATACTTCCTAAGTAGCTGCATCAGTAGAAATGTAATGTCTAGATCAGGTATGGGTAAACCCAGGACCAGGGGCTGGAGGAGGCCCCTTGGGCTCTTTTCTCAGGCCCTCCTTTCTCTCACCATCCTATCCTTCCTTCCTTCCTTCTGTCTTTCCTTCCTTCTTCCCTCCTTTCTCCTTCCCTTTCATCCTCCCTTCTCTCTTTCCTTCCTCCTTCCATTTCTTCATTCCCTTCCACCCTTTCGTCCTTTCTTCCTTCTTTCTTTCCTTCCTTCTTCCCTCCCTCTTTCTCCTTCCCTTTCACCTTGTGTCCTCCCTTCCTTCTCTCTTTCCTTCTTCCCTTCTTCCCTTCTTTCCTTCCTTCCCTCCTTCCTTCCTTCCTACCATCCATCCATCCATCCATCCATCCCTTCCATCTTCCCTCCTTCCCTCCCTTTTGTCTTTCCTCCCTCCCTCCCTCCCTCCCTCCTCTCTCTTTCTCCTTCCATCCTTCCCTTTCACCCTTTCGTCCTTTCTTCCTTCTCTTTCCTTTCTTCTTCCCTCCCTCTTTCTCCTTCCCTTCCACCTTGCGTCCTCCCTTCCTTCTCTCTTTCCTTCCTTCCTTTCTTTTTTCTTTCCATCCATCCATCTCTTCCATCTTCCCTTCTTCCCTTTTGTCTTTCCTCCCTCCCTCCCTCCCTCCCCTTTCTCTTTCTCCTTCCATCCTTCCCTTTCACCCTTTCATCCTTTCTTCCTTCTTTCCTCCCTCTTTTTCTTTCCTACCTTCCTTCCTTCCTTCCTTCCTTCCTTCCGTCCCTCCCTCCCTCCCTCCCTCCCTCCTTTCCTTGCTTCCTTCTCTTTTTCCATCCTCCTTCCCTTCTTTTCTTCCATACTTCCCTTCCACCGTTTCATCCTTCATTCCTTCCCTTTTTTTTTGTCTTTCCTTCCTTCCCTCTTTCCTCCCTCCTTCCCTCTCTCCCTGGGCCCTTCCACATAGCCATATAACCCAGAATATTTAGGCAGATAATCTAGGCAGACAGTATCTGCTTTGAACTGGGTTATCTGAGTCCACATTGCCATATAATCCAGTTCAAAGCAGATAATGTGGGGTTTATTCAGCTGTGTGGAAGGGGCCCTCTTTTCCCCTCCCTCCATCTTTCCCTTCCTCCCTTTTGTCCTTCCTTCCCTCTGATGTTTTGGGCCAAGTCTGAAGGGTCTTCCATAACATCAAAGATTCTTCCCTCTAAGTTGCTCTGTTCCTCCGCATCCCCGTTTACCGCCTCTTCTGAAGAGCTACTTATGGAGATTTCCATGCCTGATTAATCGCAACAGTTTGCGAGATAAGAATAAAGACAAATGATTATTTAAACCTGCTTACTTACCATGACTTTCCTCTCTCGATCTGCGCTAGAGTGCCAGCTGATGAAGACAGAGAGACCTAAACCAAACACATTCATCATCAGATGCCTCCAGTGGACCACAGTAATTGAAAGGACGTTTCATGTGGAGACTCCGGAGGAGCGGTATGTTTCCTTCAGATTTAAATACAAGAGCAACTTGCAAAAGCAGATGTAAACGTTCAGCGTTATTAGTGTGCAGCTCCTGCTCAAAGCTTTTTTGTATTGCTTTGGGACTGTGGGCTTGAGAGTCTGGTTTTCTTTGGAGTTCACTTTTGTCTCCCGCTGAGTGGGTGGCAGAAGAGGGGTCCTCATACGAAGAATTGGTTTTTTTTTGTGTGCATGTGTGAGTACACACAAATTTGTATGTCTCTATGACTATATTAACCCCCCCCCCCTACATAAGTGCCCCATTAGTATGATGGACTACAACTTCTAACATCCTTCCATTAATTCTGGAAGTTAGAGATCAAGTAATCTGGTGCGCACTAGGTATACCAAAGTTGGGAGATAATTTCCAGATACTTTGGACTTACTTCCGTTCTTACTTTACTTAGGCGATCCCTCATTGTCCAAGTATGATGGCCTTTCAAGTGCAGTGTCTTGGCGTTGGATAAGTAGGTGTGGATGTTCTTCCACAGTGAGGACATCCGTTTCCAGGTGGAAGGCAGTCCCGGTCAAGGTTAGCTTGACACGTCTTCCTCTTGGCACGTTTCTCCCTTTCGCCCTCCATTTGTGCCTCTTTAAATACTGCAGCACTGCTGGTCATAGCTGACCTCCAGTTAGAGGGCTCAAGGGCCAGGGCTTCCCCGTTCTCAGTGTCATTCAGAAAAATGCTGCATTCGCAGAGCTTAGTTGCATTTCAATGTCAGTGTTGACTTTGTGGAGAGGTGGCTGCCAAGGTTTTCTAATGTTACACCATTAAGCTGTATTTCTGGCATTGTAGAGAAATGGTACCTGCTGGAAGAGCACTTTGGTTTTCTCGATGTTCAATGACAGGCCGAGCTTCTTGTATGCTTCTGCAAATGTGTTTAGTATGGCTTGTAGGTCTTCTTCTGAATGTGCATAGAGTATGCTATCATCAGCATATTAGAGTTCTATAACAGATATTGGGACCTTGGTTGTGACCTTTCTGTCTGGTGAGGTTTAATAGCTTGCTATCTGTCTGATAGATTATTTCCACTCTGGTGAGAAGCTTCCCATCTACAAGATGAAGTCTCATAGCAATGAAGATGGAAAATGAGGTTGGGGCAATAATACATCCCTGTTTGACACCTGATTTAACCTTAAATTGGTTATTTTGGGAGGCATTGCTGTCCAAGACATTTGCCATCATGGAGGAGCCATAGGATGGTCACAAATTTGTCAGGACATCCGTATGCAAACTTAGTATAATATCTATAGTAGTTCAGAGCAATGATAGCATCCATTTCCATCCAGATTACAAATAAGAATTAAAAGAGTAACTCCTGATGATATACCAGCTACTGCCTTTGAAAGTTTTTTAAGTGTTCTAATTTCAGAGTAACTTAGAGGGAATTCTTCTCTTCCCTATTTCTAGTTCACTCTGGAAAGGTCTCATCCATGGTATTTCTTTTTCTGATACGAGATTGGTCAGAGCACAAAGCAGAGGTTGTTATGTTTCTTTCAGTGACTGATGGACTCTTGAATTCCTTATCTAGAAAGATTCATAGCCTCGCTCTCTTGCTTTCTCTTTCCTTATTCGAGATCTGTCTATTATTTTCAGTTGAGACAAATGTTTTTTTTCTGCTATGACCATCAGATGTTCATGAGGGTCTCTGGCAGGAAAGTATGTCAGATCACTTGCTAATTGTGCAATTCCTTTTCAAAACTGCTTCTGGTGCTGTTTGTTTTTCTCAGGGAAGAATGGACAAAAGCCATCCAAACAGTAGCAGACAGCCTTAAAAAGCAAGAGGAGGAAATCATGGACTTTAGATCGGGTTCCCCCAGCGATAACTCGGGTGCCGAGGAAATGGAAATTTCTATGACGAAACCAAAACACAAAGTAGTAAGTATTAGGTTACAGTGGATGTTTCTCCCCACTTGCCAACAAACCTCACAACCTCTGAGGATGCCTGCCTTAGATGTGGGTGAAATATCAGAAGAGAATGCTTCTGGAACATGGCCATACAGCCTGGAAAACTCACAGCAACCTAGTAAGTTCTGTAAGTTTTTTCTTAAACTGAATTTGTTTTTTAAGTTGGAAAAGGTACATTTTAAAGTATAACTCTAGCCAAAAATATTTATTTATTTGTTTGTTTATTTACTTACTATATTTATACTTCTCACCCCGAAGGAGATTCAGAGCAGCTTACAAACTGGCAACAATTCAATGCCATATGAACCACATAGAAAAACAATAAGCATATTCATTCAAGCAAAAGGTTAAGAAAAAACATCCATGCATTAAAAGCCAATTAGCTTTAGATCATATAAGGAAGGGTTAACACCTCTGTGGTATTTGTTTTGCTGTCTGTGTCAGAAGATTTCACCTTATTTTCATTCCCTGTGAGAATTGGATTTAGAAAAAAAAATGGTTCATTGTGAAAACAAGAATTGTTGAGAAAGCTTCAGTGGAGACACCTTTTCCCCATGATAACTCTTTCAACACTGAATTTCCCTTCCAAGGGTAGACTTCTCCCACTTCTTGTCTCACCCCCATTCTTAACAATGAATAATTTGTAAGTTGGATGTTTGTATTTATTTATTTACCATATTTGTACCCCGCCCTTCTCACCCCGGAGGGGACTCAAAGCGGCCTTACAACAAGCCGCAATTTGATGCCATGCACACATATAACAAAAATAAACAATTACAATTAAAACCAAACAATTGAAACATGAATTATTAAAACATCGATTGAAATCACGCCAACCAAATCATAATCCAGGGCCGTTCCATTTGTCAATCGCATTGATTCATGATCACTTATTGCACTGCTCCAATTACTTGTCAAAATCTTGGTTCCAAAGTCACGTCTTAAGTTTTTTCCTGAAGGTCAGGAGAGAAGGGGCTGATCTGATTTAATTGTGGATGGAGTTCCATAGGTGAGGGGCCACCACTGAGAAGGCCCTGTCTCTCTCCCCACCAGTCATGCCTGCAAAGGAGGAGGGACTGAGAACAGGTCCTCCCTGGACGATCTTAACCTCCGAGATGGTTCATAGAGAGACATACTTTCGGACAGGTAAGCTGGGCTGGAACCATTTAAAGCTTTATAGGCTACAGCCAGCATTTTGAATTGTGCTCGTTAGTAGATCGGCAGCCAGTGGAGCTGACGCAACAGGTGGGTTGTATGCTCCCTGTACACCGCTCTGGTGAGAAATCTGGCTGCCGCCCATAGGACCACATGAAGCTTCTGAACAGTCTTCAAAGTCAACCCCATGTAGAGCGCATTGCAGTAGTCTATTTGGAATGTAACCAGAGCATGGACTATTGTTGTAACTTGACCACAGTGGTCCACACTCTTGTTACATCCAGGATAGACTACTGCAACACGCTCTACGTGGGGTTGCCTTTGAAGACAGTTCAGAAGCTTCAAATAGTCCAGAGAAGCAGCTAGGTTAATAACTGGGGCGGCATACAAGGAGCACACAACTCCCATGTTACCTCAGATCCACTGGCTGCCTGTTTGCTACTGGGCATGATTCAAAGTGCTGGCTTTGGCCTATATAGCCCTAAACGGCCACAGCCTAGTTTACCTCTCTGAACGCATCTCCCCTTATGAACCACTGCAGAAACTAAGATTGTCTGGGGAGGCCCTGCTCTTGGTCCCGCATCATCACAGGCGCATTTGGTGGGGACAAGAGACAGGGCCTTCTCAGTGATTGCCCCCCGGTTAGGGAACTCCCTTCCTGGCAATATTAGATCAGCCCCCTCCCTCCTGTCCTTCAGAAGGATGGTGAAAACCTGGCTTTGGGACCAAGACTTTAGGCCAGTTCAGTGAGGCAAAATGGTGTCCTGAGATGGTTTTTAAGCAACCTTTAATGTGAATATAAGTGATTTTAATGTTTGTATATATTTATGGTTTTATGTCCCGGCATTGAATGTTTGCCGTATATATGTTGTGCTCCGCCCTGAATCTTCTGCGGGGTGAGAAGGGCGGAATATAAATGTTTTAAATAAATAAATAATAAATAACTCTGGGTCTGCCTGTACAGCTGAAGCATTTTATTCAGAGCACACTGTGAACATTGCACATTGTTGCTAATGGATTTTTGTAAATTGGCGGCATTCTGAAACATTTTGTTGTTGCCAATTTTTTCAGTACCCCAACATTGAGCTAAAGCAGTGTTTCTCAACCTGGGGGTCAGGACCCCTGAGGGGGTCGCAAAGGGGTGTCAGAGGGGTCACCAAAGACCATCAGAAAACACAGTATTTTCTGTTGGCCATGGGGATTCTGTGTGGGAAGTTTGGCCCAATTCTATCATTGATGGGGTTCAGAATGCTCTTTGATTGGAGGTGAACTATAAATCCCAGCAACTACAACTCCCAAATGTCAAAGTCTATTTTCCCCAAACCCCATCAGTGTTCATATTTGGGCGTATTGAGTATCCGTGCCAAGTTTGGTCCAGATCCATCATTGTTTGAGCCCACAGTGCTCTCTGGATGTAGGCGAACTACAACTCCCAAACTCAAGGTCAATGCCCAACAAACCCTTCCAGTATTTTCTGTTGATCATGGGAGTTCTCTGTCCCAACTTTGGTTCAGTTCTATTGTTGGTGGGGTTCAGAATGCTCTTTGTTTACATGTTAACTATAAATCCCAGCAACTACAATTCCCAAATGACAGAAGCAATTTCCCCGCCAACCCCACCAGTATTCAAATTTGGGCATGCCGGGTATTTGCTCCAGTGAATGAAAATACATCCTGCAGACCATTATTTACATGGCAATTCATAATGTTATGGTTATGGTGGGGGTCACCACAACATGAGGAACTGTATTAAGGGGTCACAGCATTAGGAAGGTTGAGAACCACTGAGCTAAAGGGACCCCATGTGGGATCAGGACCCACCATTTATGGAGCAATGCTCTGTAAGGAACAGGAGCCTAAACTAGTTGGATTTTGGTCTTCACCCAGCAAGCCTCTACTTCAGTTCTCATAAACATTTAAACAAGTTTGATTTGTATCTCTAGATTTTGTGATAAGCTCTGTTATGGGGATCCTGCTCTTCCCCGAAAGGACAATTCACAGAATTGGCTTGATCTCAAAGATAACTGGCAATAGCTGGTCTCCTTGTAGTACAGGATCTTCAAGGATATCAATCCTTCTGCTTAGTTTGTATATAGTTTTGAAAGTGTCAGCTGTAACTTCCTTTTAAATTGTGTTTCCAACAGACTATGAATGAATTTGAATACCTTAAGCTACTGGGGAAAGGTACTTTTGGAAAAGTCATCCTGGTGAAAGAAAAAGCCACAGGACGATATTACGCAATGAAAATTCTGAAGAAGGAAGTAATTGTTGCAAAGGTAGGAAGATTTGGAGGAATGTTTTCACTTTGAACTTTGAATATGTTTTAATGGTTTTTAACTGGGAATTTTTGAAATACTGTTTATATTTAATGTTTACATATTTGTATATTTTAAATTGTATGCTGATGCTTTTATTATAAGCTGCTTTGAGTCTCCTGCAGGAAAGCTAAAGCAGGGTATAAATAAATATAATAATTATTTTGTTTATTGTGTCAAAAGCAAATTGAGGATAGAGTTATAATGTATTGGAAAACCACAAACAAAGTTAAAAACTTGGCATTATACTAAATGTCCTTGCCACTTGGAGTGCCTCTGGTGTTGCAGTAAGAAGGTCCTCCATTGTGCATGTGGCAGGACTCAGACTACATTGTAGTAAGTGGTCTGTGGATTGGTTTTTTCCACACTCTCATGTCGTGGAGTCCACTTTGTAGCCCCATTTCTTAAGATTGGCTCTGCATCACGTGGTGCCAGAGTGCAGTCTGTTCAGCTCCCTCCAAATCGCCCAGTCTTCTGTGTGCCCAGGAGGGAGTTTCTCATCTGGTATCAGCCACTGATTGAGGTTCCGTGTTTTAATCTGCCACTTTTGGACTCTTGCTTGCTGAGGTGTTCCTGCAATTATCCCTGTAGATCTTAGGAGGCTGTTTCTTGATTTGAGGCATTGGCTTGCTGGCTGGTATCTAAAAGGGGATGGGCCGGAGATGTTACTGCCTTGGTCCTTTCATTACAGGCTGCTACTTTCTGATGGATGTCAGGTGGTGCAGTACCAGCTAAGCAGTATAATTTCTACAGTGGTGTTGGGCGTAGACATCCTGTGATAGTACAACATGTCTCATTAACAGGCACATCCACTGTTTTAGCATGGTCAGATGCAGGCCAGGATTTTGATGGGGGGGGGGGGGCAGGGGGAGCTGAGGATCTACCCTAGCAAACCTTTTGTATCGTTACCCCAATACCCCCATGCATATGGGATATATTGAGAATGGTGATCAGATCATGATATGAATAAACATAACAGTTTAAATAATGTACCAGTAAGGCCTTTTCACGGACCACCCTGAGAATTTCCTCAAATAATGCCTGGTCAGATGTATTCCAACACTGGACATGCATATTCAGCAGCAGAGTAGCAAAGCGTCAGTGCAGATGTCTCCACTATGTCTGGTTGTGATCCCCAGGTTGTGCCTGTCAGCTTTCGTATGACGTTATTTCTAGCACCTACTTTTTTCTTGATATTTATGTAGTGGTTTTTATAAGTCAGAACACGGTCCAGAGTAACTCCAAGGTATTTTGATGTGCTGCAATGCTCTAGTGGGATTATAGAATCATAGAGTTGGAAGAGACCTCATGAGCCATCCAGTCCAACTCTCTACCAAGAAGCAGGAAAATTGCATTCAAAGCAATCTTGACAGATGGCCACCCAGCCTCTGTTTAAAGGCTGCAAGGAAGGAACCTCCACCATACTCCAGGGCAGAGGGTTCCATTGCTGAACAGCTCTCATAGGCAGGAAGTTCTTCCTTATGTTCAGGTGGAATCTTCTTTCCTGTAGTTTGAAGAGATTCTTCTGCATCCTAGTCTCCAGGGCAGCAGAAAACAAGTTTGCTCCCTCCTCCCTATGACTTCTCACATCCCAAGTAATCCTCAGAGCTTGGGTATTATTATTATTATTATTATTATTATTATTATTATTATTATTGTTATTATTAATTAATAACTATTATTATTAATAAAGCCAGGGGAGCTTTTGCATAGTTAAAGCTTGTGCACCAGCTGCGCTTGTACCATGGGAAGTCTGATCTGGCTACGGTGGTCCACGCTCTTGTTACATCCCAAATAGATTACTGCAATGCACTCTACATAGGGCTGCCTTTGAAGACTGTTCAGAAATTCCACCTAGTCCAATGGGCGGCAGCCAGATTGCTAACTGGAGCGACATACAGGGAGCATACCACCCTCATGTTGTGTTAGTTCCACTGGCTGCCGGTCCACTTCTGAGCTCAATTCAAAGTTCTGGTTTTGACCTATAAAGCTCTATACGGTTCTGGCCGTATAGAGCTTACTTGTCTGAACGCATCTCCCTCTACATCCCGCTTGCAGTTTAAGATCATCTGATGAGGCCCTGCTCTCGCTCCCGCCAGCGTCACAAATACGTCTGATGGGAACGAGAGACAGGGCCTTCTCAGCTGTGGCCCCCTGCCTGTGGAACTCGCTTCCCACTGAGGTAAGATCGGCTCCGTCCCACCTGTCATTTAGGAAGAAATTGAAGTCGTGGTTCTGGGACCAGGCTTTTGGACAACAGACATAGATAGCACTTTGGACGTGGAATTGGATATGGAATTGGCAGGAATATTAATACTGTTTTTACTGTTTTAATGAATGTTTTACTTATTGTTTTAATTGTTATTATATTGCTTTGATATGTAGTGGCATCGGATTGCTGCCAAATAGAAGCCATCCCGAGTCCCTCTTCGGGGATTGAGAAGGAACGGGATAGAAGTACTAGAAATAAATAATAATAAATAAATATTAGTATTACTAGTACTAGTACTAGTAGTAGTGGTAATGTCAGTTTTGGTTCCCGTTCAGTTGGAAATGGAGTGAAGGTGAAGGGATATCCTTCAGCAGGCCCTCACCTTCACTGGGGTTTGGGGCACAGGACCCCCACGAAAGTGGGGAAAGTACGAATTGGAAAAATGTGGGGGGGGGGGGTTGCTCAAAAAAAAAAAACCTTCTATACAAATTATAGAAACTATAGATGCTCCAGGACAATTCTGTGATTCCTGCAAGTTCACGTTCTGACATACTTCCAACCTTACTGCCTTTTGAGTGAGAGTTTTATGATGAGAGATACTTTGACTTTATTTTGTAAGACTTCTAGGAATGCTACTACTCATAACGTGATCTGTGGACTTTATTTGTGCCTCTGTCAAAATCCTATTACTCTGGATGTGACTATATATAACCCATCACTTTTTTGATTGTGCTACAGGATGAAGTGGCGCATACCCTGACGGAAAACCGGGTTTTGCAGAACTCTAGGCATCCTTTCTTAACGGTAAGCATCTTACATTTAAGTCTAAATGGGTGGCTCACCTTGGTTGTTTTCTTTAGCAGAGGTGGGCTTCAGGAAATTCTGTTCTTTCCAGATTGGATTGTGATGAAGTGAAGCACAGTTGGTCCTCCACTTTTGCAAGGATCCTATGAGAAGACTTCTCTATGGTCTGCCAAAGGTTGACAATGGAAAAGCATTGGAGGACCAACAGATGTCCAGAGAAGCACTCTTTAGGAATCTCTAGGTTCTTCAGCACAAGTCTATGGCAAACCTTTGCTATAGAGTAGGCATGGGCAAAATTTGGCCCTCCATATGTTTTGGACTTCAACTCCCTCAACTCCTTTTGGGAGAAGGCTGACTTTTGAGATCATAATCTTTTGGAAAACCAGAATCTCCATAGCCTTTTGGAAGCATGACCTTTTGGAGATGAATTGGCATTCGCTACCATTTGGAAGGATCATAACCTTTTTGTAAAGTATGATCTTTCTTAGAAGAACTAAAAACTTGTTTGGGTCAATTTTCTCTTTAGTGGGATATTATTATAGCATTCATGCAAGGAAAAAATAGGTTTCTCAGCTGTTAGACTGATATACCTGATTATCTCTCTCTCTTTTTTGTCGTGTAAGGAGCGACTTGAGAAACTGCAAGTCACTTCTGGTGTGAGAGAATTGGCCGTCTGCAAGGACGTTGCCCAGAGGGCGCCCGGATGTTTTGAGGTTTTAACATCCTTGTGGGAGGCTTCTCTCATGTCCCCGCATGGGGAGCTGAAGCTGATAGAGGGAGCTCATCCGTACTCTCTCCAGATTCGAACCTGCGACCTGTCGGTCTTTAGTCCTGCTGGCACAGAGGTTTAACCCACTGCGCCACCGGGGGCTCCTATTATCTCTCTGAACTACTAGGAACAAAGATAATGCCAATGCACAAAATATATAGCAGATCTTCAGAAGTGTTATTTCAGTTGCCCAAAAACATCTACTCTCCTATAAACTATATTTAGTTATAACTCATGCTCTCAAGAAACCAAAATATGTAGTCTTCTTTAAAAGTGACATATCTGGTTTACTCACAACCTTCATGTATTCAGCATACAGGTGATTTCTTGCCAATCCGGTTAAAGATAGGTTTTGAAGTTGTTTTTCTCTGCAGATAACACAGAACATCTTTCTTAGAATTTACATTCTGAGAGTCTAATGGAGTCTTTCCTCTAAAATGAAGTCTCAGTCTGAATAGTCCCAGATTTGATCATGTGGTCTGCAGCCTCTCCCACAACCTCATGAAAATATAGAGTAAAGGAAGCTGCATATCAGAACATACATATGCAATACAGTAAGCAATAGGATTGTATACAGACAAATTACTAGTGGAGACTTGAAGAAGGTTGCTATTTCCAACAATTTCTGGTGGCTTTTAAGAATTGTGGGAGTTGAAGTCCAAAACACCTGAAGGGCCAAAGTTTGCCCAGGCCTGCTATAGAGTCATTGTGGAGTATCTAGAAATTCCCACAGAGAACATATTAATAAAATGTATGACTAACCAAATCAGCGAGTGTTAGACCTGTATATGTGGAGGGTTGACTGTACTTGATAGTTTGATGATCTCCTCCATTATTCGGAATTTGATGCACTTCATGGAGGAATAATATTTGCTGTGATTAGATTGTGGAGATTGAAAGCCAGTCTGGTATTGTAAATTGGGGTTTGGACAAGTCATATTCGCATCCCCTCTGATATATGGAACTTGCTGAGAGACATTGAGCTATTTACGTTTTTAGTCTAAACTACCTTCCAAGTCATATTGCACTTCTAGCACAGAAGGGACTTTATTTGTTGTTCCCTTCATTAAGAGGGGCAAGTGACAGACTGCGTGTGCTATTGAGTCTTGTTTATTCATTGGACAAAATTGGACAAAATAAGGACAAAATTGTTTCCCTCTGTTCTGGGACATTAAATATGGACCTAAAAACCCTGGGATCGAGTCGCAGTTCACTGACATTGAGTACGTTTCCATTTCTAAAAATCTATAAATCGATCAATAACATTGTATTATTGAAGGCTTTCATGGCTGGAATCACTAGGTTGCTGTGAGTTTTTCGGGCTGTATGGCCATGTTCCAGAAGCATTCTCTCCTGATGTTTTGCCCACATCTATGGCCAGCATCCTCAGAGGTTGTGAGGTCCGTTGGAAACTAGGCAAGATAGGTCCGTGGAATGTCCAGGGTGGGAGAAAGAACTCTTGTCTGCTTGAGGCAGGTGTGAATGTTGCAATTGATCACCTTGATTCGCATTGAATAGTCTTGTAGCTTCAAAGCCTGGCTGCTTCCTGTCTGGGGGAATCCTTTGTTGGAAGGTGATTAGCTGGGCCTGATTTTTTCTTGTCTGGAAATCCTCCTGATTTTGTGTGTTTTGTTTACTATCCTGATTTTAGAGGTTTTTTTTAAAAAATTCTGATTGCCAGATTTTGTTCATTTTCGTGCTTTCTTCCTTTCTGTTGAAATTGTCCACATGCTTGTGGATTTCAGTTAGGTTTGAGAAAGGGCTCAGTACCTCAGCCAGGATTAGTACAGTCAATGCTCCATCTCCATATCATATAATTTATAATATTATAATGTAATGCAATATAATACTAATAATAATAAATAATAATAAAAACATGTAATATTACTAATAATATTGCAATATAATGGTATAATACAATATAGTAATATTTGATACTGATATTATTTATTTATTTATTTATTTAGAAGTTTCTTCTCACCTCGACGAGGGACTCAGGCTGGTTTACAGCATATATGCAAATTACAATAATATACAAAAACAAAGTACATCAACATTACAGATTAAAATTATACAGTAAAAACATCATCATCTCATTACCCAAGCCAAATCGTCATACAATCACAGTCATAGTCACAGTTCATCCTCCTCCTTCCATATGGACGAAGGTTATGAGATCAGTCCTTAAAAGCCAGATTCCACAGCCAGGTCTTTATTAGTTTCCTGAAAGTCAGGAGGGAGGGAGCAGATATGATCTCTAGTGGGAGGGAGTTCCAAAGCCGGGGAGCCACCACTGAGAAGGCCCTGTCCCTCGTTCCCACCAGACGCAATTGCGAAGGAGGTGGGACCGAGAGCAGCCCCCCCCCCCCCGGAAGATCTTAATATGCTATGCTAATAATATATATATAGTGTGTGTGTGTGAGTATATATATATACACACACACACACATACATACACACATCTTGTAAGCCTCTCTTTGAGTCTCCTTCATGGTGAGGACGGTGGCATATAAATGTCACAAATAAATAAATAATATCCACAGATCTTAAAACTTTGGATTCCACAGTCCTGTGGATTCCACAAACAGCAACCCGATTAATAACAACTAGTGGATTCTCAATGATATTTACCAGAATTGGATTAAGTCAATAAAGTCTTGTTATGAATCCTGAAAACAGTGTCTTCTAAAACTCATTCATACTTTGGGGCGTCAGTTATATATTATCTGAGTCCAAAGCTGTGACTTCTTCTGAATACCCAGCTGTAACTTTGAGGCTGGTGGCCAAGGCAAACAAGGTGGAGTGTGTCCTAACAAACTGCCAGTTCTCGTGATGTAGGAATGTGTGTGATGTTGGAAACAACCACTTCCTGTAGGGGAGGGGTGGGAGGAAACAAGTTAGGGAGAAATCAATCAAACCCCCCCCCCCCCCCCCCCCCCCCCCCCCCCCCCACTATCACCCTTCCTAATGTTTCTCTGCACATTCTGTGCTTGCAATTTGAGTGCGGGTTTGTTTTGGTCAAGTGCTTTGGCTGGCTGCCATCCATGAAACTGCAGCAAAGAGCCGGAGGAAAGGGGAGGGCAGTGTGATGTTTTCCTTGATGCCACTGCGTCACATAGGACTGGAAATATCCATTCTAGACCTTGTGGGCTGTGACTTAGGGATTAGTCTTGAAAAAGTTATTTTTCCAAGCTCTGCAGCTTTGATTCCAGGACCCTGCGTAGATACCCAAATCCATGGATGCTCAAGTCCCATTATGTATACAGTGGTGTGATAAAATTGTGTCCCTTATATAAAATGGTAAAATTGAGGTGTACTTTGAGGAACTCCCAATGGTGCAGTGGGTTAACCCGCTAAGCTGCTGAACTTGCTGAATGAAATGTCAGCGGCTGGAATCTGGGGAGCAGGGTGAGCTCCCGCTGTTAGGCCCAGCTTGGCAGAACTTAGCAGTTCAAAAACATGCAAATGTGAGTAGAGCAATAGGTACCACTCCGACAGGAAGGTAACGGCGCTCCATGCAATCATGCTGGCTACATGACCTTGGAGGTGTCTACGTACAACACCGGCTCTTTGGCTTAGAAATGGAGATGATGAGCACACCACCCCAGAGCTGGACATGACTAGACTTAATGTCAAGGAGAAACTTTTACCTTACTTTACTTTTGGGAATTTATTTTATTTTGGGGTATATGTTCAACCTGTGGATCTGTGGATATGGAGCACTGGCTGTACTTATCCTGGCTGAGGCACCTTCCTCAAACCTAATCCCTACCCTCCATACTTCACAGATGCCCCTTTCTCTCCTTGCCTTTAGTACATCTACCTGCATTCTCCTTGTTACCTTCTGCTCCCATTCTCTCTCCCCACTTGGCATCCTATATAATGAATCCACCTGGCCACATCTCTGGCTATTTTCCATCACTGGTAACTGGGTGTTGTCTGTGTCTTTGTTGATAAATTCAAATAACTATATTTAATGATAATTGGAAGGAGTGGGTTAGAAAACTATCATTGTATGCATGCCAGAATCAGAATTACCCATGCCATAGGTAATTTCTGACTTCTATATGTGGTTGTGAATGTTGATAGGAAGAGAACTGGTCCATTCTTAAATGTGACACAGGAGGACACAGTTTTCCTGCTTCTTGGCAGGGAGTTGGACTGGATGGTCCACAAGGTCTCTTCCAACTCTATGATTCTATAAGAGAGGATTTATAGGTATCATGGACTTCCATAAAGACCAATTCAATGCATTCTAGAACAAATCAAGGAAGAACGTGTCAGAAATATTAAATATTAACTAGGTATTTGTAATTACCAAAATGTGAGTGAAGCACTGAAAGAGTTAAATGGATGTAATGACTCAGCAAAAGCTGCAATTCAGTATATGTATCCTCAGCTAAAAAGTGACCAATATCTTCAATACCTAAGGTCAGCGATCCTGAGGAAAGCATTTACAGCCCTGCGATTCCAAACAATGCCATCAAAAGAGGGAAGATACAGAGGGATCCCCGTGCCCAACGACTTTGCATTTGTGGCTCAGGGGAAATAGAAGACCTAACGCACTATTTGCTATGTTGCCCCTTGTACAATGACCCTAGGAAAAATCTCCTAGGATCACTCTTGGAAGAAAGGGCTTCATGGCAACAATCTGCGGTGATCTGCGACTTGCTAGCAGATCATTCTAAAAATATAACACTAAAGGTGGCCACATTCTCAACCGCAGCCCAAAAGATCAGAGCCAAAGCAGCAAAATCCATACTGGGGGTCAGAAATGGAAACGGTTTGGAATGACACAAAGCAGACACTGTCATTGTCATGTTTCTGCTTTCATAATTTTAAAGAACTTGTTTTAGTTTTAATTCTTGTTACGTTTTAAGGTTTATATTGGAAAGTGTTTATAAAGTTAGTATATAATTGATGTCATGGCCTATGGCTAGTACAATAAACAATTCATTCAATATAAGCAGATGTGTCTGTATCTTAGTAGAGCTCAGTCTGGGAAAGGTTTCTGTGGGAGAAGGGCCCCAGTGTGAGGTAGTCCTCAGTGTTAATAGGCCTCTGTATGAGGAAGCCTGGTGTGAGATGCTTCCGTGAGGAAGCTCCAGTGTGAAGGCTGTTGTGTGTAAAAAGCTACTGTGTGAAGCTCCTGTGTTACTTCGTTGTGAGAGGAGGCTCTGTGAGAGCAAAGCTGTTTAATATCGCATGAGAAAGAAGCCCAGCATGGAAGCAAAGAAGGAAGTATAAAGAACTTTGTTCGTGTTATGGAAACCTTGTTTTTGTAAATAATACAACCATATTATAAAGTAATGCCTCCATGGAAGAGATAACATTTGTCTGTGTGTTTTTGTTCTTTTTTATCATTTTTGGCTACTGGTCCTGCGTCACGCTGCTGCTTATAAGTTACTCTCTACATGGGAAGAAACACCATATATATTACAAACTGGGAGTAAGATTCTCCCTGGCCAAATTTCGCAAATGACCTCAGAAGCACTTTATTTCATGGTTCGTGCAATTAATTCCTTCCTCAATCCGGATCTCCCAACAATTTCCAATTTCCATTGCCCAATCTCCCAGTGTTTTAAAATTTAAAATTTTTATTTTTAAATTTTGCCTTGTACCGTGCAATTTCTGTGTGTTTAATGTCCGTTGTTTCGCTTATTATTTAGGTTTTGCATTTTATGTTTTCTAGTTCTGTTGTTTCGCTTATTATTTATTATCTAGTTCTGTTGTTTCGCTTATTATTTAGGTTTTGCATTTTATGTTTTCTAGTTCTGTTATGCCTTGTGTTATATTGTGTTATGCTTTTGTGTAATATTGTGTTTACTGCATTGATGGGCGTGGCCTCATGTAAGCCACCCCGAATCCCCCTGGGGGAGATGGAAAGATTATTATTATTATTATTATTATTATTATTATTATTATTATTATTATTATTATTATTATGAGCTCTAGGAGAGTTTCTCTGCTCCTCTTGGAAATATCCTGTCAAATAATGCCAAATAGAAATGTACTTAGTAGATACAACTTCTCTGCTTCCTGGCCATACACAAGGAGATGAGAAGTTTATTTATTTATTTATTTATTTCGCTAATTTCTACCCCGCCCTTCTCAACCCCCGAGGGGGGACTCAGGGCGGCTTACAAAAGGCACAATTCGATGCCGATACAAACAGTAAGAGAAAAAACATATCAACAGCAATTGTAAAACAATTAAAACCATCAATTACACAACACAATCAATAAAACCAGTCTAATGCTCAACGTTCGCCAGCTCAGAATCCATAAATTCATTCCACATTGTCAAATCCTATCCATTCCAGTCGTTGTGGTCCTTTGTCTATCTGCCAGATCACCCAAAGGCCTGGTCCCACATCCATGTTTTTAGTTTCCTTCTAAAAGAGAGGAGGGATGTCGATGACCTAATTTCCCCGGGAAGTGAATTCCACAGGCGAGGGGCCACCACCAAGAAGGCCCTGCTCCTCGTCCCCACCAATCTCACTTGTGATAGAGGTAGGGCCGAGAGCAGGGCCTCCCCAGAAGATCTCAAACTTCGAGGGTGGACGTAGAAGGAGATGCGTTCGGACAGATACGCTGGGCCAGAACTGTATAGGGTTTTGTAGGTCAAAACTAGTACTTTGAATTGTGCTCGGAACTGGATCGGCAGCCAGTGGAGCTGACATAACAGAGGGGTGGTATGCTCCCTGTATGACGCTCTGGTGAGTAATCTGGCTGCCGCTCGCTGGACTAGTTGAAGTTTCCAAACAGTCTTCAAAGGCAACCCCACATAGAGTGCATTGCAGTAATCTATTCGGGATGTAACAAGAGCGTGGACCACTGTGGCCAGATCCGACTTCCCAAGGCACGGGCGCAACTGGCACACAAGTTTTAATTGTGCAAAAGCTCTCCCGGCCACAGCTGAGACCTGGGGTTCCAGGCTCAGCGATGAGTCCAGGATCACTCCCAAGCTGCAAACCTGCGTCTTCAGTTGTATCTACTAAGTACACAGCTTGTGTCTCTTCTCTTGAGAATCACATAGATGCTTTCCAAGTTTGAAAGGCGCTTCAATAGATGTCCCTATGCTAGACAAGCCTCTTGGAGAGGACAAACCACATGGAGGATGTCAACCGTTGACAAGCTTCTCCTTGGGTCTGTTCTCTTGGGTTTCTTGGAATTGTTTGGCTTGCTTTTTCGAGAAGTAAGCTGATACAGAGACCCCTACCCTGATACAACAATGTTCATCTGCTTTATGACTTTTATTGGGATATACGTTTGCGTAATCTTGGGCGGTTTTTCTTGGTAAAACCACCCAGTGTCCTTGTCACATGTTTGTGTCTTATCTCTGCTTCTCCAGCTTCTGAATGTACTTGGGTTCTCGGGGGTTTTCTCTGAATAGAAATGCCCAAAATAGTATTAGGTCCACTTCATTCTGCTTTTTTATTATATATGTTTGTAGACTACTCTTATTATGGGTTGACTCTCTTTATCTCAGAATGTTAAATGCTTCGAAATTATTGTTTGAGAATATGATGCCTTTTCTTTCTGATGGTTCGGTGCATACAAACTTTGCTTCGTGCTCCAAATTATTTAAAATTACCCTCAAGCTAAAGTACCTTATATAGTCGAGTATAAGCCAACCCAAATATAAGTCAAGGCACCTAATTTTAACACAAAATACTGGGAAAACATATTGACTCGAGTATAAGCTGAGGGTGGGAAATGCAGCCATTACTGGTAAATTTCAAAATAAAAAGAAATACCAGGACAATTACATTAATTGAGACATTAGTAGGTTAAATGTTTTTGAATATTTACATAAAACTATAATTTAAGATAAGATTGTCCAGCTCTGATTAAATCATTATTCTAACCTTCTTCAATGAAAATGTGCTTACATATCCTTCCAATAATAATAGAATAAAATAATAAATGTTATAATATTAATAATAAATAGAGTAAAATAATAAATGTAATACAAGCAATAATAATACAGTACAGTAATAAATGTAATAATATTAATACTAAATACAGTAAAATAATGAATGTAATAAAATAATAATAACAAGAGTAAAATAATGTTAATGTAATAATAATAATTGAGTAAAATAATAAATGTAATAACAATAATAGAGTAAAATAATACATGTAATAATAGAGTAAAATAATAAATCGATTAATAACAAAAATAATAAAGTACAATAATAAATGTAACAATATTAATAATAAATACAATGAAGTAATAAATGTAATAATAATAATATAGTAAAATAATGTACATGTAATAACAATAATAATAGAGACAGTAATAAATGTAATAATAAAAATAGAGTAAAATAATGAATATAATAATAATAATAAGAGTAAAATAATAAAAGTAATAATAATAAAAATAGTAAAATAATAAATGTATTAAAAATAATAGAGTGAAAGAGTATAAATGTAATAATAATAAATAGAGTAAATAATAAATGTAATATAATAATAATAATAATAATAATAATAATAATAATAACAACAGAGTAAAATAATAAATAACCTTTATTTATTATTGGGGGTGCGGGTTCAGCCTAAATAAAGGGTTGAAAAACTTGTCTTATACTCTACTATATACAGTGCGTTGAGACTTGGATCTCATTTCCCACATACCTCATTATATATATTCAAATATTCCAGTATATATTTAAAAAGTAAAATCCTGTAGTTTGGGGCAGCACCAGCATTCCTTGGCCAAAAAGCTGAAGAACTTTGAAAACTCCCAACTTCCCTGATTCCATAGCATTGAGCCATGGCAGTTAAAGTATTAATCCTACAATGTAGATGCACCCCTAAATCTACCCCAATATGGGATGCTGGCTGGAAATGGTGGTGAGAGAATTATATTCTGGCATATTAGTACCCATTCAGAGGTTCTGTGGCAGATGCCAAAATATATTAGTGTTGAAAAGATCTTCTAAATTTTTTGAAAATAAGTGGGCTAGAGAATCAATTTAATTATTGTTTTTCAGTTCTGATGCCATCAAAATAATTACTGATGACGAAAAAGTAGAAATGTTCACTTTGGGGGAGGGGGGGAGTAGGTGTCCCAGAGACCTGTAAATGGAGAGCTGTTCTCAGAGTTATAATCTTTCCAAGCCATGCTAATAACTTGTTCTGAACACGTGACAAATTCATGTAAAATACATATTTTAAAACAAGGATTTCTTTTTTTATGTAGGCTTTGAAGTATTCCTTCCAGACACATGACCGGCTGTGCTTTGTTATGGAGTATGCTAACGGAGGCGAGGTAAGCATCACATGCACTGCAGTCAAATGGCCTTATGTGCTTCTTGATGTGCTATGTCAGTGGGTAGTGGGTTGCATCTCGAGGTCCCAGGATTAGCAGGGAAGGAATCCCAATGGAGCATTGCAGCACACCAAATCCCTTGGAGTCAGTCTGGACAATGCTCTGACTTATAAAAAACACTGCTTCTTATAATATCATATGAAATAAAAATAATAATATTATATGAAAGCTGATTGGTACAACCTGGGGATCACAAACAGACACAGTGAAGACATCTGCCGTTGCGCTTTGCTACTCTGTTGCTGAACGCATGCCCAGTGTGGATCACATCTCACCACATTAAAACAGTGGATGTGGCTCTTAACGAGGCATGCCGCATTATCACAATATGTGTCTACACTCTACACTGCTGGAGAAATTATACTGTTTAGCCAATATTGAACCACTTGATGTCCATCGGGAAGTAGCAGCCTGTAATGAAAGGACCAAGGTATTGACGTCTCCAGCTCATCCTCTGTTCAGATATCAGCCAGCAAGCCAATGCCTCAAATCAAGAAACAGCCACCTAAGATCCTAAGCATGCAAAAAAAACAAGCAGAATGGACTTTAAAACCACCCAAAATAAACCATATATACATATACGGTATATACGGTATATACATATACAATGAGTCGCCATTAGGCTGAGAATTGCGGTATATAAGTGAAGTAATAAATAAATAAATAAATAAATAAATATACACATACATTCATATACATATACACATGCACACGTAATACATACAGATACACACATATATATATATGCAAGCGCACACAAATATACACATATTCGCATATATACATATACCAATACATACACACATATATGCATATACACAAGCACACACATATACACAAGCACACACATATAAACACAAATATATACACACGTGTACACACACATATATAATATAATATATATTATTATTATCACACACACATATATATACATACAGCCACACAAACACACATATATACACATATACACAAATATACACACACATAAACACATGCACAGACTGGACCACAGCAATGCGTGGCCGGGGACGGCTAGTTAAAAGTGGCAATAACAAAACAAACTGTATAAGGTAGTATTGCAGAAGGGCTGATATAAAAAAAGCAAATCTATGCCAGTTATTTTACGCTTCATCATTTGGAAAAATGGACTTTTATGAGTGTGTAATTTGAATTACCCTTAAGGCAGAATTGTAATTTCCTTGATGCAGAAAGGACACAGCCTTGCTTGCATATAGCTCTGTATAAATCTATCCAAAATTAAAATGAAGGGGAAAGAACCTGATCGGTGAGTTGGGTGTGTATGGTAGAGGATAGTTCAAGATCCCAGACTGAGTCGTACATCTCTCATTGCTACTGCATCCTTTTGCATGCAAACAATGTGATCTATTGAACAATGATCCCTCTTTAGTTGAACATTTATGGGGGAAATGTGTGCAAACTTGCTGCTAACCAGTCTGTGCCCTTTCAGCTGTTTTTCCATCTGCAACGTGAACGTGTCTTTTCTGAAGATCGTGCCCGGTTCTACGGAGCTGAGATTGTGTCCGCGTTGGACTACCTACATTCAGAAAAGAATGTGGTTTATAGAGACTTAAAGGTAGGTAGAGATATTATTGCAACTTAGTTATAAGTGACATATCTGGTTTACTCATAACCTTCATGTATGAGATGTTTTTTAAGCAACTTTTAATGTGAATATAAGTGATTTTAATGTATTGTCAAAGGCTTTCATGGCTGGAATCACTAGGTTCTTGTAGGTTTTTTCGGGCTATAGGGCCATGTTCTAGAGGCATTTCTCCTGACGTTTCGCCTGCATCTATGGCAAGCATCCTCAGAGGTAGTGAGGAGACCATGAAAATGAACAAAATCTGGCTACCAGTATTAAAAAACTCTACAGCAAAACAGCAGAGAGGAAACAACCAGGCACATCTTAACACCTCTCAACAGAACATTTTCCCAGGCTCAGCCAAGCCTTCAAATGCTAATGAAGGTGGTCAGCTGAAAAATTCACACCTAGCTCTAGCAGGGAAGAGCTCCTTGCCCCACCCCAGTCATTCCACAGATATATAAACCCATTTTCCTAACTCCAACAGACCTCACTACCTCTGAGGATGCTTGCCATAGATGCAGGCAAAACGTCAGGAGAAATTCCTCTAGAACATGGCCCTATAGCCCGAAAAAACCTACAAGAACCTAGTGATTTTAATGTTTGTATATATTTATAGTTTTATGTCCTGCCATTGAATGTTTGCCGTATATATGTTGTGCTCTGCCCTGAGTCCCCTGCGGGGTGAGAAGGGTGGAATATAAATGTTTTAAATAATAAATAATACATAAATATTCAGCATAGTTAAAAGGTAAAGGTTTCCCCTGACATTAAGTCTAGTTGTATCCAACCCAGGGAAGTGGTGCTCATCTCCATTTCCAAACTGAAGAGCCAGCATTGTCTGTAGACACCTCCAAGGTCATGTGGCCAGCATAATAATAATAATAATAATAATAATAATAATAATAATAATAATAATAATAATAATAATAATAATGGGTTGTTGTAGGTTTTTTCGGGCTATATGGCCATGGTCTAGAGGCATTCTCTCCTGACGTTTCGCCTGCATCTAGGGCAAGCATCCTCAGAGGTAGTGAGGTCTGTTGGAACTAGGAAAATGGGTTTTCCTAGTTCCAACAGACCTCACTACCCCTGAGGATGCTTGCCATAGATGCAGGCGAAATGTCAGGAGAAAATGCCTCTAGAACATGGTCCTAAACCTGGGGTCCCCAGATGTTTTTGACCTACAACTCCCATAAATCCCAGCCAGTTTACCAGCTGTTAGGATTTCTGGGAGTTGAAGGCCAAAACATCTGGGGACCCACAGGTTGAGAACCACTGCTCAAGAGTAGCTGTGTGGAAGGGGGTCTAAGATCATGGAGTAATAATAATAATAATAATAATAATAATAATAATAATACTTTATTTATACCCCGCTACCATCTCTCCAAGGGACTAGGTGCGGCTTACATGAGGCCAAGCCCACAATACATCAATAATAAAAACAATAACAACAAGTAATACAAAACAATAAAAATAAAACTCCTAACAGAAAATAAGCATGACTGCATGGAGCACCGTTACCTTCTTACCTTCCCGCAGAAGCGGTACCTGTTCATCTACTCACACTTGCATGTTTTCGAACTGCTAGGTTGGCAGAAGCTGGGGCTAATAGTGGGAGCTCACACCACTCCCCGGATTTGAACCGCCAACCTTTTGGTCAGCAAGTTCAGCAGCTCAGCAGTTTAACCCGCTGCCCCACCGGAGGCTCCTATATATATAAACTTCCCACCTTCCTGAATAAAGACTATTCAACAAATATATGTTAAACCTTTCTATAATACATTATTTAAATTGTATCTTCTGAATGAAAGTTTTAAAAAATGTAATCTTTAAATCTTGCAAGCATAATAGTCCCCTTTCTTCTTAAAAACAATACAAAAACAAATCCCAGTCCGTTAAGAAATTGTCCAATAGGCTTTTCTCCCTCACTAAACAAAGTAGATAATGTACGCATTACCACCATTTCTACCTCTTTACATTTCTTTAAATCAGCATATGCAAATTAGCAGTGGTCAGTTTCATCTCTGCATGGGTGAAGCCTTTCATGGCATGCAGAGAAAGCCCGCTGAGACATTTTGGATCATTTGTGGTTTTCTGTCAGTTAAGGAAAGCCCATTTAATCAAAAATTTTCAAGGTGTCAGCAAGTTTAGATGAATAATCATTTGTCTTTTAACAACAACAAAAAGTGCATTTGTGAAGTTGTACATAGGTACTGGGCACCCTGGTGGTGCAGGAAGTTAAACTATTGAGCTGCTGAACATGCTGATCGAAAGGTTGGCAGTTCGAATCCAGGTAGCAGGGTGAGCTCCCATTGTTAGCCCTAGCTTCTGCCAACCTAGCAGTTCAGAAAACATGCAAGTGTGAGTAGATCAACAGGTACCGCTTCTGCGGGAGGTAAGAAGGTAACGGTGCACCATACAGTCATGCTGGCCACATGACCTTGGAGGTGTCTATGGACAAAGCTGGCTCTTCAGCTTGGAAATGAAGATGAGCACCACCTCCCTGGGTTGGACACAACTAGACGTAATGTCAGGGGAAACCTTTACCTTTTAGGGGAGCCGGGTGAGCTCCCGTTGTTAGCCCTAACTTCTGCCAACCTAGCAGTTCAAAAACATGCAAATGGGAGTAGATCAATACGTACCGCCTCTGGCTGAGAAAGGCAGTATACAAATGCGGTAAATAAATAAATAAATACTGCTTTGGCGGGAAGGTAACGGCGCTCCATGCAGTCATTCCAGCCACATGACCTTTGAGGTGTCTATGGATAACGCCGGCTCTTTGGCTTAGAAATGAAGATGAGCACCACCCCCCAGAGTTGGACGGAACGGGGCTGGACTTAATGTGTGCATCAGGATACATATATCGATAGAATATGAAATACACGTATCTGAAAATAACTGAATGAGAAAATTTCCCTAAATTGGTATGAAAATAAATACGCAAACAAGCTAGGCATTTAATATTTACGGTCCACCACATTTGTGGATATAATTTTAGCTGAATTGATTATTCATGGATTCAATTAATATGGACCTTGTAGAAATCTCTTAAGTCCTCCGGTGTAACTTCCACCAGAAGTTGACCATTCCTCATGAATAGCGGAAACTATGGATAATAGAGAACCATATATTTTGACTATACTGGAAACACGTCATAAAATCACTCTGGAGGACCTAGAGAGGTCCACAAACATTTCAAGGGCAGGAGATATAGGTAAGTGAAGCCATGGGTATTGGATGTGTGGATAAGGGGACTGTATTATCTTCCAAAGGCACTAAGCAAGGCATGGGCAAACTTCATCCCTCCAGGTGTTTTGGACTTCAACTCCCACAATTCCTAACAGCCTACCGGCTGTTAGGAATTGTGGGAGTTGAAGTCCAAAACACCTGGAGGGCCGAAGTTTGCCCATGCCTGTACTAAGGCATCCAAGAGGAATTGTGTCAACTTTTTACAGCAAAAAAGCAATACAGAAGCCTTGAGGCCTCTTACTTGGTTTTATTTGGCATGCGCTTCCAAGGTCGCCAGCCCACTTGATTATATGCGCACTCTCCTCTGCCACCCTCTCCCTTGCGCTTTCCTCGCTTTGTGTTTGGCTCCCTCCCAGATAAAGCCAAGCTGTGCTTTTTTTGCTCAGGGAAGACAGGCAGTTGCATTCAACACCTGCGTACGCTGGCATTGTCATCCCTGGCTGCCATGGATACACCTCCTCGGCCTTGGAAAGAAGTGGTGAAGAAGCAGCTCACCCCGCGTACACAAACCCATGCGAACGCTCCCTGTTCTTTCTGCCCACACAATTATTATTTCCCTTCCTCAAATGGGGCAGCAGTTGTCATTGCCAGCTAATCTGCTTTCCCTTCTCAGGTCCCTGACTAGGCGACTGATAGTGAAGACATTCTTGCATCCATCATCATGTCTTTCTTCATCAAAGAGAAACCCACTTGGCATATCAATGATGGTAGGATTCATAAAATCATAGAAACATAGAGTTGGAAGAGACTTCGTGGGCCATCCAGTCCAACCCCCTGCCAAGAAGCAAGAAAATTGCATTCAAAGCACCCCCGACAGATGGCCATATAGCCTCTGTTTAAAAGCTTCCAAAGAAGGTGCCTCCACCACACTCCAGGGCAAAGAGTTCCACTGCTGAATGGCTCTCACAGTCAGGAATTTCTTCCTAATTTTCAGGTGGAATCTCCTGTCTTGTAGTCTGAAGCCATTGTTCCACATCCTAGTCTCCAGGGCAGCAGAAAACAAGTTTGCTGCCTTCTCCCTATGACTTCCTTTCATGTAGTTATACATGGTTATCATGTCTCCTTTCAGCCTTCTCTTCTTCAGGCTAAACATGCCAAGCTCTTTAAGCCACTCTTCATAGGGCTTGTTCTCCAGACCCTTGACCATTTCAGTCACCCTCCTCTGGAAACATTCCAGCTTGTCAGTTGTTGTTCATTCGTTCAGCCGTTTCCGACTCTTCATGACTTCATGGACTCCTTCAAGGTCAATCCAGTCACTTCAAGGATACCATCCATCCATCTTGCCAAGCTTGTCTCTCTTCAGTTGTGGTGCCCAGAATAGGACACAATATTCCAGACATGGCCTAATCAAGGTGGAATAGAGGGATAGCATGACTTCCTTGGATCTAGACACTAGACTCCTATTGATGTAGGCCAAAATCTCATTGGCTTTTTTGCCACCACATCACATTGTTGACTCATGTTTTACTTCCTGTCCACAAGGACTCCAAGATCTTTTTCACACGTACCGATCTCGAGCCACGCGTCCCCCATTCTGTATCTTTGATTGTTCTGTCATAGATCACAACATCTTCTGATTTCTTGACTTGGAAGAGTGGCTCTCAGTGACCTCTTAGATGTGATCCTCTAAGTCTACTTTAAAGCTATATCCCTGAATAACAAAATCAGAAGTATACATAACATAGAATCATAGCATTGGAAGAGATCTTGTGGACCATCCAGTCCAACCCCCTGCCAAGATGCAGGAAAATCACATTCAAAGCATCCGCAACAGATGGCCATCCAGCCTCTGTTTAAAAGCCTCTAAATAAGGCGCCTCCACCACACTCTGGTGCAGAGAGTTCCACTGCTGAACACCTCTGGTCAAGGTTAAGTTCTGTCACAGACAACTGATTTTCATGTTTTCACGAGTGGAAAGTTTGACCTTTTTTGTAAGGTACTAATGGTCCCCTGCTACGTGTTGCTGTGGCCCAGTCTGGTGATCTGGAAAATAAAGTAATTAGAAAGTGTTGGTTTCTAATATATGTAATGTCTTTATGCTTGTGGGTAAACAGTACTTCTTGCTGTTTCTTTGCCAGTGTTGATGTGGAGAGTGTCTGGTTTGCCTACTGTGGGACATGCAACATGTCATTGTCCTTCTTTAGGAGTCCCTTTCAAATCTTTGATACTGCATCTGTCATATACATATATGTGTGTGTGTGTGAATAGCAGGATGGCCCTTTGTCAGGAGGGCTTTATGTTTTCTTGCTCTGGTGAAGGGAGTTGGGCTGGATGGCCTTAAGGCAGCATTTCTCAACCTGGGGTTTGGGACCCCTTGGGGGGGTTGCAAGGAGGTGTCAGAAGGGTTGCCAAAGACCACAAGAAAACACAGTGTTTTCTGTTGGTTATGAGGGTTCTGTGTTGGAAGTTTCCCCCAATTCCGTCATTGGTGGGGTTCAGAATGCTCCTTGATTGTAGGGGAACTATAAATCCCAGTAACTACAACTCCCAAATGTCAAGGTCTATTTCCCCCAAACTCCATCTGTGTTTATATTTGGGCATATTGAGTATTCGTGCCAAGTTTGGTCCAGACCTATCATTGTTTGAGTCCATAGTGCTTTCTGGAGGCAGGTGAACTACAACTCTAAAACTCAAGGTCAATGCCCACCAAACCCTTCTAGTGTTTTCTGTTGCTCATGGGAGTCCTGTGTACCAACTTTGGTTCAATTCCATCATTGGTGGAGTCCAGAATGCTCTTTGATTATAGGTGAACTATAAATCCCAGCAACTACAACTCCCAAATGACAAAATCCTAACTTTTTGAGTGATGGTCACTCTTTGTGTTTTGAGATGTTTTGTTGGCAAATTTGGTGTGATTTCGTTAATTGGTTCTTTTGTTTTTAAGGTACTCATTACCCACAGAGCATTTTTATATATTTGTATATAGATGAATGAATAAGTGTATTCCCCATTTAAGCAAGCAGCAGAAGTAAACCTGCATGGCTTCAGTACAGATAATCCACAGATTATTGTCGCAGGTGTCTCTTTGCAGGAGAAATGTAAGCACTTTGCTGTACAAGGGAAATGTGGCACTGGAGCCAACTTTCCCTGAAGTAGGTTGTTTACTACCACAACTAACTGCTTATATTGGTAAGAGTTCTGAGAGGACTTTAACCTTTATAGAGGTGGAGGACGGGCTGAGATGTTCTTGAATGAGTTCCAAAATCTTCTTTTATGCAGCTCTGATTCTCTGGAGTGCTGGAAAGTGGTTCAGGTTTAACCAAGAGTTAGCATGAATTGCTCATTGTGCTTTACTGATAGGCTCTTCTGGGCAAATAATTGCTTTTCTTGGTTTGGGTGCCTCCTCGTTCATTGGAAAACGTTTTCTTAAATGTTTATTTACCTCTTATTGCAAATTTCCTGCAAAATCTCTTATTAGCATATTTGGAGTCTACTAGGGTGGTGCAGATATTTGATCTGGATCTTGATCCCTTGTTAACAGCTAGTGTATTTTGACTTTCATTGTAATGTGTGTTGTATGTTGTATGTCTACGTTTCAGGTGTGTTTGTCAAGTGTTTTGATACAGCCGCTGGGCTAAGGAGGCTCATTAGGTTATTATTATTTTTAATTAATTTTTATTCAGAAATAGAGAAAAACAAATTGAAGAAAACGGCAACAACACAAAAATGTTTTTTATAATATTTAGAACTAAACTATGACAAGTAACACAACTATATTTAACAATAACACCCTAATAATAGCATTTTTTTAAAAATTAAACTATTACATTTGGCCTAGCCATAGGTTTTTAAATCCTTGTGTGTTATTGTTTATATGTGATTTATATTAATTTGTATTGCATTGTATTATTTTTGTTTATTGCTTTCTTGTTTTATTGATGTGTTGTTGTGCTTGGCCTCATGTAAGCCGCTCCGAGTCCCTTGGGGAGATGGTGGTGGGGTATAAATAATAATAATAATAATAATTATTATTATTATTATTATTATTATTATTATTATTAACATACAATCAAATTTCAATACTGGTGGGATTGATTTTGTCATTTGGGAGTTGTAGTTGCTGGGATTTATAGTTCACCTGCAATCAAAGAGCATTCTGAACTCCACCAATGATAGAATTGAACTAAACTTGGCATACAGAATTCCCACAACCAACAGAAAATACTGGAAGGGTTGGTTGGGCATTGACCTTGTGTTTTGGAGTTGTAGTTCACCTCCATCCAGAGAGCACTGTGGACTCAAACAATGATGGCTCTGGATCAAACTTGGCACAAATACTCAATATGCTAAAATGTGAAGACTGGTGGATTTTGGAGAAAATAGACCTTGATATTTGGGGGTTGAAGTTGCAGGAATGTATAGTTCACCTACAATCAAAGAGCATTCTGAACCCCAACAACGATAGAATTGGGGCAAACCTCCCACACAGAACTCCCATGACCAACAGAAAATACTGTGTTTTCTGGTGGTCTTTGGCGACCCCTCTGATACCCCTCACGATGCTCCCAGGGGTGCCAACACCCAGGTTGAGAAATGCAGTTCTGTACACAATCACTACAATTATTCTACAAATCTCAATCTCATTGCCTGTTGATTCTTAATTTCCTATTTCCTTTTTGCCCATATTTCTGCTTTTAATAATGCTCCTCTAAATCATAAATCCAGTAGTTCGTTTGTCCCCAATGTTCAAGTTTGATACCACTGACTGTTAAGTGGTTAAGTGCTATAGGATTCTGGGAGTTCTAGTTTTCCAAGATATTACTATTCTCTGCTGAAAAGTACTGGTGCCTCATTAAACACTAAATCTCAGAATTCCATCAAGTCAGGCCGTGGCAGTTAAAGTGGTGCCGAATTGCCTTAATTCTACAGCAGGGGTCCTCAAACTACAGCCTGGGGGCCGGATATGGCCCTCCAAGGTCATTTGCCTGGCCCTTGCTCAGGCTCAACCTAAGTCTGAAATGACTTGAATGCGCACAACAACAACAATTATATCTCATCAGCCAAAAACAGACCCACACTTCCCATTGAAATATTAATAAGTTTATATTTGTTAAAATTGTTTTTCATTTTAATTATTGCATTGTTTTTAAGTGTTTTTTGCATTACAGATAAGTAAGATACGTGCAGTGTGCATAGGAATTCATGCAATTTTTTTTTTCAAATTATAATCCAGCCCTCCAACAGTTTGAGGGACTGTGACCTGGCCCTCTGTTTAAAAGGTTTGATGACCCCCCCCCCCCCCCCCCCCCCCCCGTTCTACAGGGTAGATGCATCTAAAGAAATAGGAGGATCCGGTTTTATTTATTTCGTGTCAAAAGCATTGCATAAATAAGTGTAATACTGATAAAATAGAGGGAGCACAAGTGGCTAAATAATTTTAGACCAAAAACGGGTAACAGCAACCGCATTGTCTGTAGCTTTAAGCAATTCTTCCTCTGTGCATGAGGCAGGGCATTGCGGACAAGCATAGAGATGGAGAGTTGTTTGTTCTGCTCTACAGTCACACAAGGTGGAGGATTCTTCTAGGTTGTGCCATTTTGCCAGGTTGTCTTTTGATCTGAACATGAGGAAGAACTTCCTGACTGTGAGAGCCATTCAGCGGTGGAACTCTCTGCCCCGGAGTGTGGTGGAGGCTCCTTCTTTGGAAGCTTTTAAACAGAGGCTGGATGGCCATCTGTCAGGGGTGATTTGAATACAATATTCCTGCTTCTTGGCAGGGGGTTGGACTGGAATGGCCCATGAGGTCTCTTCCAACTCTTTGATTCTATGATTCTATGATCTGCTCACTCCACTTCTGAGTTTGTTCAGGGACTTCCCAGTTGCCCATTCTTGGAGGATTTGGTTATGAGTTTCCTTTGCTTGACTCGTTTAATTCTTGGAGAATGAGCCAGGGAATCCCTGCTGCAGTCTAACCGTTTCAAGGATTCATGCCTTTGCTCCCTCGGCCCCTTAATGCCCCCTGGCTGAAATACAGGGAAATAATTTTGGACTGGCCGACAAGAGCATTGCAAGGCTTCCCATTAATGCAGCGTTTTGTCATTGTTTTTTTTTATTTCTGTCACTTCATTAGTTCTATTTCTGCAATTAAAACATCAAGAAAGGGAAGGGTTTTGTTTATTTTTCGTGTCGGGAGCGATGTGAGAAACTGCAAGTGGCTTCTGGTGTGAGAGAATTGGTCGTTTGCAAGGATGTTGCCCAAGCGATGCCTGGATGTTGTACTATTCTTGTGGGAGGCTTCTCTCATGTCCACACATGGGAAGCTGGAGCTGACAGATGGGAGCTCACTCCACTACCCAAATTCGAACTGCTAACCTTTCGATGTGAGAGAATTGGTCATTTGCAAGGATGTTGCCCAAGCGATGCCTGGATGCTGTACTTTTCTTGTGGGAGGCTTCTCTCATGTCCACGCATGGGAAGCTGGAACTGACAGGTGGGAGCTCACCCCACTCCCCTGATTCAAACTGCCGACCTTTTGGTCAGCAGTCCTGCCAGCACATTGTGCCACCACAGGGGAAGGTCAAAGTGTTCGATAGGAATATAAATTTGCAAAACAGCTTGAAGATTATGTATGGTAACCTAACCATCTTTATTTTCTTCTAATTTCAGCTGGAAAACCTAATGCTGGACAAAGATGGGCACATAAAGATAACAGACTTCGGGCTGTGCAAAGAAGGGATCAAAGATGGAGCAACAATGAAGACTTTCTGCGGCACACCGGAATACCTCGCCCCAGAGGTACCTTTGCATTCTCTTCGTTGTGTAAATAGTTTATAATACGTGTTTTGGGGTCTTTATTGTACACTAGTTGTACCCGCCACATGTTACTGTAGCCAACCTTCCCTCCCTCTTTCCTTCCTTCCTCTCTTCCCTTTCTTTCCTTCTCTCCTTCCTTCATTCTTTACCTCTTTTCTTCCTTCCCCCTTTTTATTTCCTTTCTTTTTCTCTCCTTTCTTCCTTCTCTGCCTCTTTCTTTCCTTCCTTCCTTCTCTCTTTCCTTCTTTTTTCCCCTCTCTCTTTCTTTCTCTCCTTTCTTCCCTTCTTCTTTCCTTCCTTCCCTTTTTTTCTACCCTTCCTTCCTTCTCTACCTCTTGCCTGGGTGTCAGCAGGAAGGGAGCCTTGCAGGAAGACATTTTCGTGCATGCGCTGTAATGTCTTTTTGGGTTTTTAAGTCCTTTCCGCTGTGTGTTTTTGTTTTGCTTTGTTTTTATGAGTGATGGTCACTTGTTGGCCTGATAGGTATATTGTGTCCAAATTTGGTGTCAATTCGCCCAGTGGTTTTTGAATTATGTTAATCCCACAAACGAACATGAAATTTTTATTTATATAGACTAGCCGTCCCCTGCCACACTTGCTGTGGCCCAGTCTGTGTATATGTGTTTTGTGTGTGTAAATATATTTTTGTGTATATATGTGTGTCTGTTTATATATATGTGGTTTTGTGCATGTGTTGTAATTTAATTATATATAATATAATATAATATAATATAATATAATATAATATAATATAATATAATATAATATAATATATATGGCTTTTTAAGTCTCTTCTGCTGTGTATTTCAGTGTTTTTATGAGTGATAGTCACTCGTTGGCCTGATAGTTATATTGTGTCCAAATTTGGTGTCAATTTGCCCAGTGGTTTTTGAGTTATGTTAATCCCACAAACGAACATGAATTTTTATTTATATAGACTAGCCGTCCCCTGTTACGCGTTGCTGTGGCCAACATGGGGGTTCTGTGTGGGAGGTTTGGCCCAATTCTATCATTGGTGGGATTCGGAATGCTCTGTGATTGTAGGTGAACTATATATCCCAGGAACTACAACTCCCTTTGTCAAGATTCTGTTTCCCCCAAACTCTACCAGTGTTCACATTTGGACATATTGAGTATTCGTGTAGAGTTTGGTCCAGATCCATCATTGTTTGAGTCCACAGTGATCTCGGGATGTAGGTGAACTACAACTCCAAAACCAAAGGACACTGCCCACTAAACCCTTCCAGTATTTTCTGTTGGTCATGGGAGTTCAGTGTGCGAAGTTTGGTTCAATTCCATCGTTGGTGGGGTTCAGAATGCACTTTGATTATAGGTGAACTATAAATCCCAGCAACTACAACTCCCAAATGACAAAATCAATTTTTTTTAGTGAAGGACATACATTGGGTTGTTAGGAGTCTTGTGTCCAAATTTGGTGCCAATTCGTCCAGTGGTTTTTGAGTTATGTTAATCCCACAAACGAACATGAAATTTTTATTTATATAGATTAGCAAAATGCTTGTGGGAGCGCAGCTGTATTACCAGGAGTTGGGAGAGTTTCCATTATTACTTCTGAGAAAACTAAGAATACTCAAAGCAACGAGGAACAGGTTTTGCATTGAATCCAATAAAGTTCCTGGATGTTTAGCTTCATTCCTTCCTTTAGAACCACCGGGCAGCTATTCATCTGTAGAGGAGAAAGTAAAGGAGTTAGGAGCCAGTGTCCTTTGTGTGACCTAGGTTTGGCTTAATGTGTAAATTTCGCAACTCTTCTATTGTCGAAGGCTTTCATGGCAGGAATCACTGGGTTGCTGTGAATTTTCCGAGTTGGATGGCCATTCTCCAAAAGCATTCTCTCCTGACATTTTGCCCAAATCTATGGCAGGCATCCTCAGAGATTGTGAGGTCTGTTGGAAACTAGGCACGTTAGGTTTACATATCTGTGGAATGTCCAGGATGGAAGAAAGAACCCTTGTCTGCTTGAGGCAGGTGTGAATGTTGCAGTTGGCCACCTTCATTAACATTGAATGACCTTGCAACTTCAAAGCCTGGCTGGTTGCTGCCTGGGGATCCTTTGTTGGGCGGTGTTAGCTTGCCCTGATTGTTTCCTGTCTGGAATTTATTTATTTATTTATTTATTTATTTAGAAGTTTTCTATACTGGCCTTCTCACCTCAGCGAGGGACTCAGGTCGGTTTACAGCATATATGCAATTACAATAATATATAAGTACAACAAAGTGCAACATCGTTACATATTAAAATAGTACAATAAAGTACAATAAAAACATCATCATCACAGTTACCTAAGCCAAGTCGTCAATCCAGTCATAGTCATAGTCATAATCATAGTCACAGTTCATCGTCCTCCTTCCATGTGGACGGAGGTTATAGATTCAGTCCTCGAATGCCACATTCCAGAGCCAGGTCTTTAGTAGTTTCCTGAACGTCAGGAGGGAGGGAGCAGATCTAATCTCTAGTGGGAGGGAGTTCCAAAGCCGGGGAACCACCACCGAGAAGGCCCTGTCCCTCGTCCCCACCAACCGTGATTGCGAGGGTGGTGGGACCAAGAGCAGCCCCCCCCCCCCGGAAGATCTTAATAGCCTTGATGGTTCATAAGGGAGAATCTGTTCGGACAGGTAAACTGGGCCGGAGTCATTTAGGGCTTTATAGGTCGAAACCAGCACTTTGAATTGTGCACGGAAGCTAATCTGCAGCCAGTGGAGCTGGCGTAACAGAGGAGTCGTATGGTCTCTGTACCCCGCTCCTGTTAGCAATCTGGCTGCCACACGTTGGACTGATTGAAGCTTCTGGGCAGTCTTCAGAGGCAACCCCACATAGAGAGCGTTGCAGTAGTCTAAACGGGATGTAACCAGAGCGTGGACCACCATGGCATTCCCCTGCATTCCCGTTTTCTGGGGAATGCAATATTCCTACTTTTTGGCAGGGGGTTGGACTGGATGGCCCATGAGGTCTCTTCCAACTCTATGATTCTAAGAGAGCGGATGAGCTCTCTCTGTCAGCTCCATCTCCCCATGTGTGGACATAAGAGAAACCTCCCAGAAGGATGGTAAAAACATCAAAACATCCAGGCATCCCCTGGGCAACTTCCTTTCAGACGGCCAATTGTCTCACACCAGAAGCAACTTGCAGTTTCTCAAGTCGCTCCTGACACGGAAAAAGAATGTGTTGGCTGTTATTCCATCTGGAGAGTGCACACAGGCAAACGTCCTCTGTCCCATGAAAAAGAGAAGTGGGGAGGAAGGGCCGGGCTTGAGTTCCCGGCATTTGTTTGTAATCGGAACCCGGGCTCGGAGCCTGTTTGTACAGTTGCTGCATAGTTGTTTTAGGGTCATGTTGGAATTCGGTACAGGGATGGCAGGGACTGCACCACGTCAGCTTTGATGTGTCAGATGCATCAGTCACCGAGGTGTTTACAGCTGTTGTGCCCTTCTTGTGTAAATTCCTCTCACACAGCTGTTGACGTTGTTGGCGCTCAACCTGACAAGCCACTTATTTTAAGCAAAATGACCTTCTCCACCCTCCTCTTCCCTTTACTTTGCTTACTGCGGTAAATCACGACTGGAGAACAATTCAGGGTACTAATAATAACTCCTGTGTTTTTTCTCCTTCCTTGTTGCCGTGTTCCAAATTAGGGCACGGTTGTGATATGGGGTGTTCTCATTCTAAGGATGGGTCACGGTGACCAGAATCTTTTTGTTCTTTTCCCACCTTTAGCATGAGTCACTCCCTTCCATATTGGGCTGCTCTATAGTCATGACATCATCAGTAAAATTTGGATCCATGTCATAATAAAGACACCAGGGAGACAATGGAAGCTAAAACGAGAAACGACTGTCTGCTTCCTGACTAGCTCATGCTCGTCAGAGTCATATGACTGGTGTCCGCTGTTGGGAACATTACACAGAGTAGAAGGGCACACATTGCCTGAATCGACAGGATTCCTGATGTCATCCTGTGAGAATGTTGTTTGGGGGCATGAAGCCAGGAAGGGTTCATGGAGCGTGGAGCTGCTGTTCCCTCGCTTCCCAATTCTCGCTCATGGAAGGTCTTCTCCTTTGCACCATCATGTTGTTGTTCATTCGTTCAGTCATCTCCGACTCTTTGTGACCTCATGGACCAGCCCACGCCAGAGCTCCCTGTCGGCCTTCACCACCCCCAGCTCCTTCAAGGTCAGTCCAGTCACTTCAAGGATGCCATCCATCCATCTTGCCCTTGGTCGGCCCCTCTTCCTTTTACCTTCCACTTTCCCCAGCATAATTGTCTTCTCTAGGCTTTGCTGTCTCCTCATGATGTGGCCAAAGAACTTCAACTTTGTCTCTATTATCCTTCCCTCCAGTGAGCAGTCGGGCTTTATTTCCTGGAGGATGGACTGGTTGGATCTTCTCGCAGTCCAAGGCACTCTCAGGACTTTCCTCCAGCACCACAGCTCAAAAGCATCGATCTTCCTTCGCTCAGCCTTCCTTATGGTCCAGCTCTCACATCCGTAGGTTACTACAGGGAATACCATGGCTTTGACTATGCGAATCTTTGTTGCCAGTCTGATGTCTCTACTCTTTACTATTTTATCGAGACTGGACATTGCTCTCCTCCCAAGAAGTAAGCGTCTTCTGATTTCCTGGCCACAGTCTGCATCTGCAGTAATCTTTGCACCTAGAAATACAAAGTCTGTCACGGCCTCCACGATTTCTCCCTCTATTTTCCAGCTGTCAATCATTCTTGTTGCCATAATCTTGGTTTTTTTTATGTTTTGCTGCAACCCAGTTTTTGCGCTTTCTTCTTTCACCTTGATTAGAAGGCACCATCATAGCTAGAAGTAAAGTTGGAGGTTGCAGTGCTATTGTCTTGTGTCTTAAACCACATGATGGGGGAGGGAGTTCCACAGCTGAGGGGCCACCAGTGAGAAGGCCCTGTCTCTCATTCCCTTCAATTGCACCTGTGAAGGAGGTGGGACCAAGAGCAGGGCCTCACTGGACGATCCTAATCTCCGAGATGATTCATAGGGGGATAAACGTTCGGACAAGTAAGCTGGGCCAGAACCGTTTAGGGCAGTGGTTCTCAACCTGGGGTCCCCAGATGTTTTTGGCCTTCAACTCCCAGAAATCCTAACAGCTGGTAAATTGGCTGGGATTTCTGGGAGTTGTAGGCCAAAAACATCTGGGGACCCCAGGTTGAGAACCACTGTGCTATAGGTTCTTGTAGCTAGAGTCCCTGTTAAAAGCAAATGCCCAAGATAATAATCCAGTATGTCTAGGTCCATTAAGTCCATCATCCATCTCACTTCTGGGTCTCCAGCTAGAGAACATGTGTCAAACACAAGGTCAAATCTGATCCACCATGTATGTTTACAATAAAGACAACAGGGCAGCGATGCCGAGAGGGACAGGGAGACACTGAGGCACATACACACAGGACAAGACAGTGTGATTCTGCCGCTGTATATTATATATTTCTTTGGTGACACCATTATTTATTATGATTTCTTCTACTGCCACCATTTAATGATTCATAGGCCACCTCCTTCACTAGAATGTTCAGGAAGGCACACACACTCTTCAGGTAAAATGAAACAAGAATATGTTGTTTATTTTGTTCTTGGAATAGTAAAGATGCATAATGGTTTCAATAAATTTGACAGGCTTTACTTGTACTGAGAATGATTCTATAGCCTGAGTTCCTTGAAAGCAATGTTCCACACACAGGAATATAAACAGGTTATTTTTGAACCTTTTGAATCCTCTTTCCACACCAGCACTCTTAACACTATAGAGGCCTACTATATTTCTTACTCCTTTTCCTTGAAGCTTTAACTATTTTCCTCCAAGAGGTATCTTCTTAACAAATGGTTCCCAAATCTCTTCCTTCCCCTTCAAATCTCCTAACTAACTCTTCAAAATCTCCAACTGAAAAACTATGGCTCCCTTAGCTCCTTTTCCCAGGTGTTTGGGACTGTGTGATGTATTGGTGAATAATGGGTGGATGGCCTTTTGCAGCTGACAGGTGGTAATTTTGTCAGTGCCAATTGTTTTTAAGTGCCAGCCAAGGTCTTTAGGCACTGCACCCAATGTGCCGATTACCACTGGGACCACCATTATTGGATTATTATTATTATTATTATTATTATTATTATTATTACTATTTTAATGACACAAAAGCACAGTATGTCACAGCAAACGAAATCTATATGCTGGATTTCGTAACACAAAATCGCAAGTCAAACACTTCCCAAGCATGTAGGACTGTGTGATGTATTTTCGAATGATGCGTGCAGATCCAAGTAAGGTGGCCTTTTGCAGTTGACAGATCGTGATTTTGTCAATGTTTATTGTTTCCAAATGCCGGCTGAGATCTTTTGGCATGGCACCCAGTGTGCCAATGACCACTGGGACCACCTGTACAGGTTTATGCCAGAGCCTTTGCAGTTCGATTTTGAGGTCCTGATAACGGCTGAGTTTTTCCTGTTGTTTTTCCTCAATGTGACTGACACCTGGAATGGCGACATCAATAATCCAGACTTTTTTCTTTTCCACAATCGTGATGTCTGGTGTATTGTGTTCCGAAACTTTGTCAGTCTGGATTCAAAAGTCCCACAGTATTTTTGCATGTTCATTTTCCACGACCTTTGCGGGTTTATGATCCCACCAATTCTTTACTGCTGGCAGGTGGTACTTGTGACATAAGTTCCAGTGAATCATCTGGGCCACAGAGTTGTGTCTTTGTTTGTAGTCCATCTGCGATTTTCTTGCAACAGCTGAAGAGATGATCCATGGTTTCATCAGCTTCCTTGCACAGTCTGCATTTTGGGTCATTATTATTATTGTATGATGTGGCCCTCAATGAAAATGAGTTTGACATGCTTGAGCTAAAGCATCCTTTTCCTAGCCTGATCTTGGAAACTAAGGAGGCTCAGCCCTGGTTAGTACTTGGATGAGAGACTTCCAAAGCATATCACATTATGTAGGCTATGTTTTGGAGGAATTGGCAAAATCTGTGTATTATTTGGCTAAGAAAACCCTACAAAATCCTTAAGTCACCTTAAGGCAACTTGAAGGCACATACGCACACACGGTAACTATTTACTCCTGAAATGAACGGCACAGCTGTTAGCATGATGCTTGGGATAATCTGCCATGATGTATGCACTGCTTCTTTTAGCTTACTGCCAAATGTTTTCACAAATAAAATAGAGAAAAGCATCTCTTGGCTCAAAACCGATCTTATTCCCCATCTCAGGCGAGTCTGTGCGGGTCATCCCAAGAGCACTAAACAAATTTAGGAGGAGTAATATAGCCTCGTAAAAAAAGCTTGTAATACAGCCTTGTAAAAAAAACTTTTGGATACTCTTTAAAGGGAAAGTGGTTTGGATGTTTTCTTGTTTATTAAGCACTGCATCTCTTATGATGGGGACGGGAGGGACGGGGGGTTTGGAAAGGCCAACTGTTACAGAGCCAAGTGGAAGAGGCTTGGGAATGGGAAGCCCGTGCTCTCCGGAAAAGGGCACAACTGGCTGATAGGCGCAGGCAAGTCTTGGGCACACGGAGCCCCAGCCGTCCCCCGCCTTCCTTCCTTCCCGGTTGCTCATAAAGGAGGATGAGGCTGGCTCCTGGAATCCTGGCAGGCCCAGCAGCTGTGTTGGTCTTCTACATATATGGGGCAGCTGCAGAGCCAGCTGTCGCTCGGTGTGCGAATCAAACGGCAGAAGATGCTGGAAATAGACCTGCGTGGGGTAATCCAATACCTGGCAGCCTCTGCCTTTTCACTGTAGGCTGTCTTCCAGGTTCCAGCAGATCCCCCCCCCCCTTCCCTCTTTTTTTTCCAGATCACTTAATGTACTGACAACATTGGAGAGCAAAATCGTAATATTTGATGCCTTGGCTCTTCGTGTGTTCAGATACTTGCACTTGTGTCATGTTCATGTTGCCTGCGGTTTTCAGGGATTGCACAAAACGGGGGTTATCTGGAAAGTAAGATTACAAGGTATTGTCGAAGGCTTTCATGGCCGGAATCACTGGGTTGTTGTAGATTTTTTCGGGCTGTATGGCCATGGTCTAGAGCAGTGTTTCTCAACCTGGGGGTCGGGACCCCAGAGGGGGTCACGAGGGGGTGTCAGAGGGGTCTCCAAAGACCTTAAGAAAACACAGTATTTTCTGATGGTCATGGGGATTCCATGTGGGAAGTTTGAGCCAATTGTATTGTTGGTGGCGTTCAGAATGTTCTTTGATTGTAATGAGTTGTAAATCCCAGCAACTACAACTCCCAAATGTCAAGATCTATTTTCCCCAGACTCAACTAGTGTTCACATTTGGGCATATTGAGTATTTGTGCCAAGTTTGGTCCAGATCCACCATTGCATGAGTCCACAGTGCTCTCTGGATATAGGTGAACTACAACTCCCAAATTCAAGGTCAATGCCCATCAAACCCTTCTAGTGTTTTCCATTGGTCTTGAGACCCAAGTTTGGTTAAAATCCATCGCTGATGGAGTTCAGAATGCTCTTTGATTATAAGTGAACTATAAATCCCAGTAACCACAACTCCCAAATTACAAAATCAATCCTCCTCCAACCCCACTAGCATTTACATTTGGGTGTATTGGGTATTTGTGCCCAGTTTGGTCCAGTGAATGAAAATACATCTTGCATATCAGATATTTACATTATGATTTATAACAGTAGTAAAATGACTGTTATGAAGTAGCAGTGAAAACAATATTATGGTTGGGGGTCACAACAACATGAGAGACTGTATTAAGGGGTCACAGCATTAGGAAGGTTGAGAACCACTGGTCTAGAGGCTTTCTCTCCTGACATTTCACCTGCATCTATGGCAAGCATCCTCAGAGGTAGTGAGGTGGATGGCCTTTTGCAGCTGACAGGTGGTAATTTTGTCAGTGCCAATTGTTTTTAAGTGCCAGCCAAGGTCTTTAGGCACTGCACCCAATGTGCCGATCACCACTGGGACCACCATTACTGGATTATTATTATTATTATTATTATTATTATTATTATTATTATTATTTTAATGACACAAAAGCACAGTATGTCACAGCAAACGAGATCTATATGCTGGATTTCGTATCACAAAATAATCTGATAATCTTTGGCGACCTCTCTGACACCCCCCCCCGTGACCCCCTCAGGGGTCCCGACCCCCAGGTTGAGAACCACTGATCTAGTCCAAGCCTCTGCCATGCAGGAAAAGCACAAAGCATCCCCCAACAGATGGCCATCCAGCCTCTGTTTAAAAGCCCCCAAAGAAGGAGCCTCCATCACACTTCAAAGCAGTGAGTTCCACTGCTGAACAGCCCTCACAGTCAAGAAGTTCTTCCTAATGTTCATGTGGAATCTCCATTCCTGTAGTTTGAAGCCATTGATCCGAGTCCTAATCTCTAGGGCATTTGGTGTCATTTCATCCAGTGGTTTTTGAGTTATTCTAATCCCACAAACAAACATTACATTTTTATTTATATAGATGATGATGATTATTACTATTATTATTAAATTATTATTAAAATATTTTTATTATTAAAAACCTACAAGAACCCAACTTTCTTTTTCTTGTACTTGAGTCCCATTGTAGGGGGAAAGGTAGGATATAAATAAAACAAATGATTAATTGATTAAATCTAATGAGTACACTTTTCTCTGTACCACAGGTGGGTTTCAGGCTCAGTTACAAATTAATGACCTGGAGCTCTGACGTTCTGGTTTCTGCAGGTGCTGGAGGACAATGATTATGGCCGTGCCGTGGACTGGTGGGGCTTAGGCGTCGTCATGTATGAAATGATGTGCGGGCGGCTCCCTTTCTACAATTCGGACCACGAGAAGCTGTTTGAACTCATCCTCATGGAAGAGATTAGGTTTCCGCGCACATTGTCGCCTGAAGCGAAATCCCTTCTGTCGGGCTTGCTGAAAAAGGATCCCAAGCAGAGGTGAGGTTTCAGCATTTGATCTTTCTGACACAAGAGCTTTGTGTGTTTATCCTGGAGTGGTGTGCTACGTTACTGTGTACAGTCCTAGCATCACTGCTTAGGGATGGACTCTGCTGTCCAAACCTACTAGTAAAAACCCAAGCTGGATTTCCCAATCCATCTGAGAAAGCCATCCTTTGGGCAGAGCTTAGAAACATCAGTATTGAGGACATACAAGGAACTAGGCTCTACCACACCAAAGTCATATCTAGTCTAACAATCTGTTTCCAAGCCACTCGCTCCAGAGCAAGATGGGAATGACATACAGTAGAGTCTTGCTTATCCAACATAAACAGGCCGGCAGAAGGTTGAATTAGCGAAAATGTTGGTTAATAAGGAGGGGTTAAGGAAAAGCCTATTGAACATCAAATTACATTATGATTTTACAAATTAAGCACCAAAACATCATGTTTTACAAGAAAGTGACAGAAAAAAGCAGTTCAATACATGGTAACATTATTTATTTATTTATTTATTTTGGTTGCTTCTACCCCGCCCTTCTCACCCCGGGGGGGATTCAGGGCGGCTTACAAAAGCGAGGCACAATTCGATGCCCGCATCACATAACAGCAAAGGACAATAACATCAATTAACAAGACAGCAATTCTAGGAATAACAACAATTAACAGAAGACAATAATTATTATAGGCGAAAACAACCATAAAACCAATACAAACCAATACAAACCTCATTGACAGTCAGCGTTTCACAATCTCATAGTTAAATTCCAATTCCACAATTGTCAGTCCTTTCAGTCCTATCCATCTGGTTTCCATATCTAATTGTCAGATTGCCCAAAGGCCTGGTCCCACAACCACGTCTTTACCTTTCTCCTGAAGGCAAGGAGGGATGTTGATGCCCTGATTTCCCCCGGGAGTGAGTTTCACAGGTGAGGGGCCACCACTGAGAAGGCCTTGCTCCTCGTCCCCACCAGCCTCACTTGTGATAGCGGTGGGGTCGAGAGCAGGGCCTCCCCAGATGATCTCAAATTCCGGGGTGGGACGTAGAGGGAGATACGTTCGTAATTGTAGTAATTACTGTATGTAGTAATTACTGTATTTACAAATTTAGCACCAAAACATCACAATGCATTGAAACAGCTGTGGATCAGGCGGGAGGCAGACTGCGTTAGATAATACAGAACATTGGATGAGCGAAGGTTGGATAAGCGAGACTCTACTGTAATAACCTTACTTTAGAAAGGACAATAAATGCCTATGTATCTAGTGTTTTGCTAACTATATATTTCAGAACTTTGACAGCTCTTTTTGCATACCTTTTCTCACCCTGAAGAGCGGCTCACAAAAAAGGCAAAAATTGATTATTATTTTTTGTTTGTGTCAGGAGCAATTTGAGAAACTGCAAGTCCCTTCTGGTGTGAGAGATTTGGCCGTCTGCAAGGACGTTGCCCAGGGGACGCCCAGAAGTTTGATGTTTTTTACCATCCTTGTGGAAGGCTTCTCTTATTGTCCCCACATGAGGAGCTGGAGCTGACAGAGGGAGCTCAACCCGTTCTCCCCAGATTTGAACCGCTGACCTGTTGGTCTTCAGTCCTGCCGGCACAAGGATTTAACCCATTGCACCACCAAGGACTCTGGCACAATTCAATGCCACATATACATACATAGGATAACACCAAACATATACATTAAAGTCAAATAACTTCGAACAAATCAATCTTAAAACAAGTTAATTAAAACCATGCAATCCAAATCCATTTTTTCCACTTTTGCAGGAGTCCTGCACCTCTAAACCCCTTAAAAGTGGAGGGCTAATTGTATTCTGATGAACTCAAACTATGAAAACAAAATCACCATTCTGTACTAAGTGTCGGTCTCTTTCCTCCCAACAGGTTAGGGGGCGGATCGGATGATGCCAAGGAGATCATGCAGCACAAATTTTTTTCCGGCATTGTATGGCAAGATGTATATGAAAAAAAGGTACTTCTTCTCTTAAATTGCGGCTTTTGGGTAGTTAGCGCAAAAGGTAGCAAAATTTTCTGTCTTCTAACATTCCTATGCCATTTATATCATGTATATTATACAAATGCAGGAGATTTAAAGTTGGTTTCATAGTTGTCACGTCTGTGCGAGATGCCCTGGTGGCATGACCTTGGAGTTAGCAGAATATTTACATTTTTGAACAGACTTAAACCACAGTATTCTTTCAAAATTATTTTTGGTTTGAATATATAAGTTGCATTGGTTCAGCTCCTGGTTTTCTCTTCTTCCTCCTTAATCCACAAAGCCATGTCTTCCCTACCTCTCAATATTGCATCCAAAGATGTGAAAATTAAAAATAAAAGCCAGTTAGTCTCAAACGATCTATTACTTAACTTTGCTCCCTACCCACCCCGCTTTCTCCCCCTTTCTCGGTCTCTTTACCCTAGTGTGGTTCTCTACTGCCCTCTAGTGTCACCACCTAAAAATATTTATATCTGGTATACTCTGCGTACTGCCTAAACATCAGAAAGGTGCCAGATCCTGTCTAATCTTGGAAGCTTAGCTGGGTCAACTCTGGCTAGTATTTGGATGAGAGACTGCCAGCAAATACCAGGTGTTGTCGGATATATTTCAAAGGAGGGAACTGGCAAACCCAGCCCTGAGTATTCATTTGAAATTTATAGGGTTGTCATCAGTCTGCATGTGACTTGAAGGCATATAGAATCATAGAATCAAAGCGTTGGAAGACACCTCATGGGCCATCCAGTCCAACCCCCTGCCAAGAAGCAGGAATATTGCATTCAAAGCACCCCTGACAGATGGCCATCCAGCCTCTGTTTAAAAGCTTCCAAAGAAGGACCCTCCACCACACTCCGGGGCAGAGAGTTCCACTGCTGAACGGCTCTCACAGTCAGGAATCTCATGTTCAGATGGAATCTCCTTTCTTGTAGTTTGAAGCCATTGTTCCACGTCCGAGTCTCCAGGGAAGCAGAAAACAAGCTTACTCCCTCCTCCCTGTGGCTTCCTCTCACATATTTATACATGGCTATCATATCTCCTCTCAGTCTTCTCTTCTTCAGGCTAAACATGCCCAGCTCCTTAAGCCGCTTCTCATAGGGCTTGTTCTCCAGACCCTTGACCATTTTAGTCGCCCTCCTCTGGACACATTCCAGCTTGTCAACATCCCTCTTGAATTGTGATGCCCAGAATTGGACACAATATTCCAGGTGTGGTCTAACCAAAACGGAATAGAGGGGTAGCATTACTTCCCTAGATCTAGACACTATGCTCCTATTGATGCAGGCCAAAATCCCATTGGCTTTTTTTGCCGCCACATCACATTGTTGGCTCATGTTTAACTTGTTGTCCATGAGGACTCCAAGATCTTTTTCACACGTACTGCTCTCGAGCCAGGCATCGTCCCCCATTCTGTCTCTTTGCATTTCATTTTTTCTGCCAAAGTGGAGTATCTTGCATTTGTCACTGTTGAACTTCATTTTGTTAGTTTTGGCCCATCTCTCTAATCTGTCAAGATCGTTTTGAATCCTGCGCCTGTCCTCTGGAGTATTGGCTATCCCTCCCAATTTACCACACTGTGTATTGATGGAAGACACATTCTTTTGGCTTCAGTAGCACAGACAATTTCATCTACAAGGGCTGAGGATGGATTTTCCATTAACATTTCATTGGATTTTGAGGTCAGCATAGAAACTTCCAAGTGCATTGCCATTTAGGTAAATGGAATGGGACTTGTGGTGAAATTTAAACGCCAACAATGATTTGCATGCCTTTCCCTATACTTTGTACATTTGGTTAGTCTGATATCTTCCCACCAACCAGTTTTATATTGGGAAGTGCAGCAAATGTCATTTGTCATCGCCATTTCTACATAATCAGTGTGTTCTGTATATGTTTATGTGGCTGAAAGCTCCACTGAATGCCGTCGAATTCACATCGAATCAGGAGGTCAAAAATACCCGGAAACAGGATTAACATTTATTTATTTATTTATTATTTAAAACATTTATCTTCCGCCCTTCTCACCCTGAAGAGGACTCAGTGCGCAGCACAGCATATATACGGCAAACATTCAATGCCGGGACACAAATTCTTATATACATACATAAACATTAAAAACATTTATTAAAATATTAAAATACTCCATTTAAAACCATCCTAGTCATAGAATCATAGAATCAAAGAGTTGGAAGAGACCTCATGGGCCAACCAGTCCAACCCCCTGCCAAGAAGCAGAAATATTGCATTCAAAGCACCCCTGACAGATGGCCATCCAGCCTCTGTTTAAAAGCTTCCAAAGAAGGAGCCTCCACCACACTCCGGGGCAGAGAGTTCCACTGCTGAACGGCTCTCACAGTCAGGAAGTTCTTCCTCATGACTGTGAGAGCCGTTCAGCAGTGGAACTCTCTGTGTAGTCATCCACATCATGTCTAATTGGCCTGGTCTTCTTTTCTGATGCTGTTTTATTGCCCTGTCCTGAAAGCCTGGTCGCACAGCCAAGTTTTGACCATTCTTCTAAAGGACAGGATGTTTTGATGTTTTGAGACATCAAAACATAGGGTCCCCTGATGGTGCAGCGGGTTAAACTACTGAGCTGCTGAACTTGCTGACCGAAAGGTTGGCGGTTTGAATCCGGGGAGCAGGGTAAGCTCCTGGTGTTAGGCCCAACTTTTGCCAACCTAGCAGTTCGAAAACATGCAAATACGAATAAATCAATAGGTACCACCTTGGCGGGAAGGTAACGGCGCTCTATGCAGTCATGCTGGCCACATGACCTTGGAGGTGTCTATGGACAAAGCTCCCAGTCTCAGGACTTAATGTCAAGGGGAAACCTTTACCTTTAACATCATAACATGCTGTAGCCAGATAACAATTGCCTTTTAGACTTAGGGTTCCTCAAATGGACCACCCATCCATCCCCCCTTCCTTGTTTAAATTAGCAAATCATTACAGGAGGAAACTTTTCGCACAATATGGCCACATCATCTGTAAAGGAAGGTGTATCCATTGCTTATCTTCTGGAGAAATCCTTGCCTCATCTTCAGTTTCCTCCCATTGAAATCGATGTTGTGCCTCTGGGCAACTCATGCAGCATATTGGAGTTGAGAGCTTACCTCCCTTACCTTCGTCACACCACTGCCTTCCTGTTTCGAATACAGATTTAGCATCCCTGGCGCTCTGGCTGGATTGGGAAGTTTCCCAGCATTTTTATGAGTACAGAAAGTACACTGAGTCCATGCAGATATGTTCAATCTGCAGAAGTAGAATGGAAGATTAAGGTAGTTGCGCCTCTCTTGTTGTGTTTTTTTTCCCTTTCAGAGGCCTCATGGTAGTTTGTTTTGGATCTTATACTGCTGTTTCTAATACTTTTGTTGTAAAGCAGTGGTTCTTCCTTCCTAATGCCACAACCCCTATATACAGTTCCTCATGTTGTGGTGACCCCTAACCATCAAATTGTATTTGTGGCAACTTCTTAATTGTAGTTGTTATGAAGTAGCAACAAATAACTGCTACTGTTTTGAATCGGAAAGTAAATATCTGATATGCAGATTGTATTTTCATTCATTGGACCAAATTTGGCTCAAATACCCAATACACCCAAGTTTGAATACTGGTGGGGTTGGAGTTGTAGTTGCTGGGATTTATAGTTCACCTACAATCAAAGAGCATGCTGAACTCCACCAGTGATGGAATTGAACCAAACTTGGCACACAGAACTCCCACGACCAGTAGAAAATACTGGAAGGGTTTGGTGGGCATTGACCTTGAGTTTTGGAGTTGTAGATCACCTACATCCAGAGAGCACCGTGGACTGTGGACCAAACTTGACACCAATACGCAGTATGCCCAAATATGAACACTGGTGGATTTTGGGGAAACTAGACCTTGACATTGGGAGTTTCAGTTGCTGAGATTTATAGTTCACCTACAATCAAAGCGTATTCTGAACCCCAGCAATGATAGAATTATGTCAAAATTCCCACACAGAACCCACATGACCAACAGAAAATACTGGTTTTTTTCCTGATGGTCTTTGGTGACCCCTCTGACACCCCCTTCGCAACCCCTTAAGGCAATGGTTCTCAACCTGGGGTCCCCAGATGTTTTTGGCCTACAACTCCCAGAAATCCTAACAACAGGTAAAATAGCTGGGATTTCTGGGAGTTGTAGGCCAAAAACATCTGGGGACCCCAGGTTGAGAACTACTGCCTTAAGGGTTCCTGACCCCCCAGATTGAGAAATGCTGTAAGAAAGATTGCTTGCCATAGAGCAGAAATGTCAAACTTTTTGACTCACCAGACTTTTTCAACTTCAACTCTCAGATGTCCCTGCCAACATCACCAGTTGCAAAAGCTGGTGGAAGCTGCAGTCTAATTTATATATATCCCGCCCCCCTCAAAAAAAATGTTACCCACAAAAGAAGCCTGTTTCTTCCCATTGATCTCTCAGAGCCTGAGGTTGCTAGGAATTGTGGGACTTGAAGTCCAAAACATCTGGAGGGCCAAGGTTTGCCCGTGCCTGATCTAGATCCTGCCTGCGCCTTGTTTCCCATTGTCTCTGACCTAACTTGGATAGTGCTTTTAAAAAAAATCAAAAGTGGCCAAGATATTTTTGTATTTGTCAGCAGTCTGCTGCCAACCAGTCTGAAGCAAAAGGTTAATGTGTCTGCTCTTTGGGGCCTTGGATTCTGAATCGCCCATAATTCTTTCAACTTCATTGCATCAGACAGTCATTTGCAAAGTCAACAGAGATCAGACCAAATGCCAAAACTGCCATTATGTTAAGTGGAAGCCGCAGAACAAACAAGCTGGAGATAGTAGATATATATATATATTATATATATATATATATATATATATATATATATATATATATAGCAGACATCACTAATACAATTTTATATATATATATATATATATATATATATATATATATATATATATATATATATATATATATATAAAGTTGTCATCCTAAAACATGGAGCTTGGCTTTCCTGCTATATATATATAGCAGGAAAGCCAAGCTCCATGTTTTAGGATGACAAGCTTTAATTAGAATGGAAAGCAAATTGTGTACTGTGGCTTTAAATAATTTTGGTGATCATGTCATTAGGAGCCACTGTGATGAAGTGGTTTAAGCATTGGATTAGGACTCCAGAGACCAAGGTTCGGATCCTGCGCTGCCTTGGAAGTCCATTGGGTTACTTTGGGCAAGTCACACTACAGGAAAGGAGATTCCCTCAGAACATTAGGAAGAAGCCAGGTTTTCACCTTTCTTCAAAAAGTCAGGAAGGCGGGGGCTGATATTATATCTCTACGCAGGGTGTTCCACAGTCGAGGGGCCACCACTGAGAAGGCCCTGTCTCTTGTCCCTGCCAAACGCATCTGTGAGGAAGGCCTCCCCAGAAGATCCTAACATCCTAGATGGTTCATAAGGAGAGATACTCTCTGCCCCAGAGTGTGCTGGAGGCTCCTTCTTTGGAGGCTTTTAAACAGAGGCTGGATGGCCATCTGTCAGGGATGATTTGAATACAATATTCCTGCTTCTTGGCAGGGGGCTGGACTGGATGGCCCATGAGGTCTCTTCCAACTCTTTGATTCTATATGTTGCATGAATGCTGGAGAGATTGCATTAATGGTGGATAGATTCAGTTGAAGAAGCCATAAACCTGGTCTCTCTTTCATAGGATTACAATAAGCATATATCCATGAATATGTGTGTATATGTGTAGTTAAAAAACGTGTAATTGATTAGTTATAGCATGTATGTTGCTTAAAACCACTCCCGTTAAATTCGCCAGAAGCACCCTGCAAACTCACGCCACATTTTATTTTTCCTTTCCTTTTTGCAGCTGGTACCTCCCTTTAAACCACAGGTGACATCTGAAACAGATACACGCTACTTTGATGAAGAATTCACGGCCCAGATGATCACAATTACCCCACCTGACCAAGGTAGGCATCACTGTTGTGATATTTCTCTGTTTTCACCCAGATTGTCCCAACAACAAACCCTTGAGCCTGACTCTCTTGGGAAACAAAGTAAATCCATTCCTAAGGAACTGCTGCCTAAAGCCAATTGGAACCCTTTATCACTCTGGATATTAATCCATGCCAAGCTATTTTTAGTCCTAAAAATGGCCAATTTGACCTTCCAGAAAGCTTTACTTGGCTGTAGCTTGTTTGGGAATGTGGGGCGAGACCTTCATTTGCCCTGAAACGACCCTTTCAAACTAAGGGTGACATCAACAGATTCCTAGCTCTGCTGTGGGTGGTTTCTCACCTTCTACCTGATGCCATTAACATTACCACTCTTATCAGCATTATTATACTAACACAAAAACACAGTATGACACAGCAAATGAGATATATATGTTGGATTTCGTATCACAAAATCACAAGTCGAACACTTCCCAAGCATTTAAGACTCTGTGATGAATTTCCAAATGATGTGCACAGATCCAAGTCAGGTGGCCTTTTGCAGTTGACCTATTGTGATTTTGTCAATGTTTATTGTTTCCAAATGCCAGCTGAGATCTTTTGGCACGGCACCCAGTGTACCGATTACCACTGGGACCACCTGTACTGGTTTATGCCAGAGCCTTTGCAGTTCAATTTTTAGGTCCTGATAACGGGTTTTTTCCTGTTGTTTTTCGTCAATTTGACTGTCACCTGGAATGCCGACATCAATAATCTCTAATTTGATGGCCATAGCTCAATGCTGTGCAATCCTGGGATTTGTAGTTTGGTGAGGAAAGTAAGGTTGCTTACCTGTAACCATATTTCTTCGAGTGGTCAACTGTGAAATTCACACCTGTGGTATTTCCTGCGTCTACACAGCTGATTCGAATCCTTATTGAAAAGCTTTTGCCAAATCAGGGACTCCAGCCCCGCCCATCCAGAGTGGGGCTTGAGGCCTTAATTCCGTACCACAAAAGACAGTTGGAGATAGAAGGCATGACAGAGTGCGGGGAGGATGGGCAGGTTGTGTGAATTTCACAGTTGACCACTCAAAGAAACATGGTTACAGGTAAGCAACCTTACTTTCTTCAACGTGTTCACTGTAAAATCCACACCTGTGGTAGACTAGTGAGCAGTCCCATGGATGGTGGGCGTCATGCTAGTGCAGAAAAAAGAATTGTTCTCCCAAAAGCCACATATTTTTTGGTGGCCAAGTCCAGTTTGTAATGGGAGACAAATGTGTGCAGTGTCGACCAAATGGCCGCCTGACAAATGTCATCCAGTGTCACACTGTGCAAAAATGCCGTAGAGGCTGCCACTGCTTGAGTGAAATGAGCATGGATCTGAACAGGTAAGTCCAGTCCTACCATCTGATATGCTAGCTGGATAGCTGCTACTATCCAGGCTGCCAGTCTCTGGGTAGAAACCAGAAAGCCTACAGAGTCCTTACAGCACTTGACAAAAAGTCTAACTGGACTCCTTGAGTCAAACCAATAATTGTTTTAGGAGAGTAGAGTTGTTGTTGCTTTCGCAGACAAAAGAAACTAGGGCCTCAAGCCCCGCTGCCTGGCTTTATTACTGAAGTGGATGGGCGGGGCTGGAGTCCCTGATTTGGCAAAAGCTTTTCAATAAGGATCCGAATCAGCTGTGTGGACGCAGGAAATACCACAGGTATGGATTTCACAGTGACCACGCTGAAGAATCAGCATTGTTTGCCAGAGAAGGCTCAAGAACCTTGTAAAACTACGGCCCCGTCATTCCATAGCATTGAAACAAAGCAATTAAAGTGGATTCATTCTACAGCATAGATGCATCCAAAGGTTTTCTTTTCAATTGCTGGAAGCTTTGGTGCTCTTAACAGTTTTGTTTTTGAAAGAATCTTAAGCATGCAGCAACTGTAATGCGTAACTTTTGTGGCCAAATTGCAAGTGCACTCTTTGCTGCTGCGCATTACATTGCACAGCAATTATTATTATTATTATTATTATTATTATTATTATTATTATTATTATGGTTTCAGGGTTTTGAAAATTGAGGTGCGTATTTGACCCTGCAGTTTCTTATTCCGTTTCGATAAATATTTTTACTTCCTTCCCATTTGTTGACACGAGAGACATGTAGATTTGTAAGCTATTTGGGTCAAAGAGCTTTTGTGGTCTCATTTGGGTGTGTTAAAATCTTTAAAACTCTGGCATATTTTTGAATTCTTTCCTTCTTTCTTCTTCCAGATGATAGTATGGATTGTATTGACAACGAACGACGACCGCACTTCCCTCAGTTCTCTTATTCCGCCAGTGGAACGGCTTAATGTTTCGCTTGTTTCATTCACAGCAACCAATCAAGACTGCATATTTGGGGACCTTTAATTTCAACGGACACTAGAGAACTCTCTATGAAACATGAATTACAAACTATGTTTGTACTACGGTTTAGCTGAATTTGTAGGAAGCCTCACAGGCTGTGTATTTAAAAACAATCCTGATGCATTTTTTTGAGTCAGAATCTCTGATAAAAAAAAGACATAATTTGGAGAAGGAAGACAAGAAGTCATTCTTTAAAAGCATTAAAAATAAAAAAAAGCTTTTTTTCTTCTGGGAAAAATGGCATTTTAGGTTTTTAAGAATATGCACCAAAACTGTTTTCTTGCTAGATGTTTTAACATAGCAGCAACATTCACATTTTTTAAAAAAAAGAAATCCTCATTTTTTATTTATTCCATATGATTCCTTATGTAAGTAGAATCCCTGCACTCTGAACTATTAGAATTATTTAGGACGAGAAGCAGAGTTATAGGTAGTGCAATAATACGAGCGACACGAAACAAAAAATAAATGAACAAGCCTTGCAGATGTGGCCTCCCATTTGGGCAGAAACATTAATGTTGACATCTTTAAGAAACTGCATCGATAGGAAACGGCATCGATGGCAGAATCAAACACGAGTTAACATTAGCAGACTTGCTGCCAGAAAGTGACATATCAGGCGAAAATAGAAGCTAGTCTATTGCACAGAAGTGTTGCATGAATACCGATCCATTTAATTATTCCATATTTGAGTAGGTTTGACATAGCCAAAATTTGGCAGGCACCCACTGGTGATTTCTCTTGTGTGGGCAACTAATAGGGGTTGTGCATCTCAGCCTTCCACCGCTGTATCCTTGTCCTGGAGAGTCTCCCAATAGTCGTGCCTTGAAGAAAATACCATATTTCATCGCAGAATAGTGGTACTATTTTCCACCCAAAATTAGGGGTGCGACTATTACACAAGGAAAAAAAATTGCCGTTGATTCTCGAGGGGTTCTGTTTTCTTTCTTCAGAAAAGGAAATGCCTTACTTCCAAAAGGGAAAGAGGAAGAAGGATGATTTAGCCCCAGATGTTTCTATTTGTGTTTTCAAACTGCAGAGCCACTTGGGGCTCATCCATCCATCCATCCATCCATCCATCCATCCATCCATCCATCCATCCATCCATCCATCCTTCCTTCCTTCCTTCCTTCCTTCCTTCCTTCCTTCCTTCCTTCCTTCCTTCCTTCCTTCCTTCCTTCCTTCCTTCCTTCCTTCCTCCCTCCCTCCCTCCCTCCCTCCCTCCCTCCCTCCCTCCCTCCCTCCCTCCCTCCCTCCCTCCCTCCCTCCGAGGCAAGACAGTTTACAAGCTCTTTGGAGAAAGAAGGGAGAATCTGAGTACTAAAGACTTTCATTGTATAGTTTTTAAACTGCCTTCGCTTTGAAGAAGAAAGGAAAGGAGAATCATCCCCAAATGGCTCGGCGACTATTATGCGATGAACACAAAATACCAATGTTGCCACCCCAAAAATGGAGGTGCGACTATTACGTGGTGTTGACTATTATGCGATGAAATACAGTAATCGGTTTTAGCCATTTCAACAGAAAAAGCTTTGCAACTGCAAAATAATAACAACAATGGCCAGGATGGGGAGCATAGATAAACGCACAACACTTTTCAAGAGGTGGCATATCCTACCAAACAATTTGTTTGGCAGTCAGGTATTGTTTTGGCACTGAAGTGACTGGCCTTGTTCATATATGTATAGAAACAACATGTCGTGCACGTTTGAGAATGCATCTATATGTATTTTTTCACTTCAATGTAGATTTTCACCATTATCGAGGCAGGGAGGAGCTAGTCTATGGCGCTGCCTTCAGGTTTAGAGGAGATTCCCATCTGTGGATGCAGCAGCTGTATGTAAAAAAAATAAAGAAGAAAATTAGGGTGAAATTTCACATTATCACAAAAAAGATGATGTTAAGTAGTTGATTCCCCCCTCTCCCAAATGTCACACTTCCCCATCACTTTGTTTTGTATTTTCATAGCCAACTCATTCTGGATCTGCCAAACTTTGTGACAGAAATTGTTGATTCGCCTTTTGAGGCGAGCTACGATTTTAAGCTCTCTTGTGCTGCGAATGAGTTTATTCAGTTGTGGCTTTATGTTCTTTTAGGTATGCTTTTGTTTCTCTTCTCTTATCTGTATAAAATTGGACTGTACAGCAGTTCCTTAACTTTTTTTTTAATTCGAAAGGGAATTTATTTAAAATATTTGCCACTTTCCCTCCACATGAAACCCCATTGTTGTGTGTGTTGTGGTTTTTTTTTTTTTACAACATTCATTCTAGTATTTTTACTTATGATATGAAAAGCTTCCCTTAAAAATTACTTCAATAAAATGTGCTTTAACAAGTAGTTTGGTCTTGGTTTTGGTAGAATGTACAGAAGAATGGAAGCTGGTAAGGCCATCTTCTCCCTCCTCTTCCTCTTCCTTAGAAGATAAGGACAATACATGTGACCTGATGGACATGAACCACTGTCATGGAAAAGGAATGGCAGGAGGCAAGTCGATGTGCAACTGAATATAAGCTAAAGGTCAGAATGCAGCATTAACCTCTACAGTGCAGTGTCAGAAAAGAATAGCTTACCTGGTGGAATAAAAGGTGTTTGAGGTAGTCTTGTGCATTTGTATCTGTTTCTGTTTGTTTCATTCGTAAGGCCCCACCCTGTTTTTGTTTTCAAGCGCCTCTCCTGAAAACGGCCACCTTTCTGAATGAGCTTTTCGTCCCTGGTTTTTTTTTTTGTTTTGTTTTTTCGTCCCTGGTCTGAAAAATATGAATATTGTCATGCCATTGGTGGACTGCAAGCTACACGTACACTCTCTTTCCAAGGAGGTTGAGGCTGCAACGCACCTCGCCATCTGAATCGGGATTTGTGGCCAAAAGTTGGCATACAGCCGCGTTGTCTCTCACCCGAACTCTGAATTCACTTTGGCCAAAAGCAGGGGCGTTGTCGTTCTTGTCCAGGATGTGGATTTGAACCCGTAGTCAGCCGCTGTGCCTGCCAGGGTCTGCAGCTGAGCGCCGAGGGCCTCTTACCCGGTGTTTGGCGCTAGGCTGCAGGCCATGGCAGGCGCAGGCACTTTGGGCCTACAAGCCACACACGCACTCTCCTTGGAAAGAGAGTGCGTGCAGGTCCAAAGCACCAGGGCCTGCAACCAAGTGTCAAAAATCAGGCAACTAAACAGTTACCAGGAAATCAGAAGACACTTACTTCTTGGGAGGAGAACAATGTCCAATCTCGATAAAAATAGTAAAGAGTAGAGACATCAGACTGGCAACAAAGATCCGCCTAGTCAAAGCCATGGCATTCCCTGTAGTAACCTACGGATGTGAGAGCTGGACCTTAGGGAAGGCTGAGCGAAGGAAAATCAATGCTTTTGAGCTGTGGTGCTGGAGGAAAGTTCTGAGAGTGCCTTGGACTGTGAGAAGATCCAACCAGTCCATCCTCCAGGAAATAAAGCCCGGCTGCTCACTGGAGGGAAGGATACTAGAGACAAAGTTGAAGTACTTTGGCCACATCATGAGGAGACAGCAAAGCCTGGAGAAGACAATTATGCTGGGGAAGGTGGAAGACAAAAGGAAGAGGGGCCGACCAAGGGCAAGATGGATGGATGGCATCCTTGAAGTGACTGGACTGACCTTGAAGGAGCTGGGGGTGGTGACGGCCAACAGGGAGCTCTGGCGTGGGCTGGTCCATGAAGTCACGAAGAGTCGGAGACGACTGAACGAATGAACAACAACAACAAAACAGTTACCGTTCCCACTTTCCTTTCGTTTCACTGATATTTCCATACCAGAGGGAGGTGTACGATTTTGTGCTATCTGAATGAAACAAACAGTACGAAAATATGAATTAAACGGCTGAAACGGTTACTGGGCCCATGATTAATTTGAGGTTATACATTCACACCCAGTACTGCTTTAAAACCTCCAGAGAAGGAGCCTCTACCACTCCTAGACAGCAGCATATTCTACTCCTGAACAGCTCTTACCATCAGGAAGTTCTTCCTAATGTTCAGATGGAATCCCTTTTCATGTAATTTGAATCCTTTGCTCTGTGTCGTAGTCTCCAGAGCAGCAGAAAACATGTTTGCCCTTCTCTCAATGTGACATTCGTCCAAATATTAAAAAGTGGCTATCCTGGGCCCTCTCAGCCTTCTGTATCTCATCCAGCAACTGGTGAGAGAGCAGAGTTTGGTGGGATAACAAATATTTTATCTAGGTAAAGGTCTTATCTTTCTGTATGGATGGCGATGCAAAAAGGAAACTACAAAATGGCACTGAATCCTATTTACACTTACTTAATTCCTTTTTAAAAACTCAAAAACATTTTCCCCAACATATCAGCCTGGGGAATACTGCAAGAGTGTGCCTTCAATGTATCGTGCAGAGAAATAAATATATGCATATATCTGCCTTGTAAACGTATATGATGGAATGCAGGCAAAAACGTGCCGCTTTAAGGAAGAATTCCTTGCCAAGCAGATATTGGGAAGGAGGGGGATGCATTCAGAGAGCCTGGTGGCAACAAAGCTCTCTTGATGGGAGGCTTGTCAGACTTGGTGCGAAAGCCTGGGCAGGTCACACCGTTGAGGTTAAGCGAGAGAGATTGAAAGAGAAAAGAGTGAAGGAGAAAGCTGTTCAGGGGAAACAGTGCAGGAGCATGAGAAAAAGCCTCTCTCAAAAGAGTTGGTACAAAAGGTTTGCTTATGCAATAAAATCGGTCTTAAAGCCGCAAATCAGAAATGGACAGGATTTACATTCAGAAGGCTGGATATCAAACCCAGAAGTTGCTTTCCATGACAAAATTATCTTTGCTACTAAATCACAGCTGAGGTTAAGACTGTTTCAGTTCATGTGTCTTAAAAGGCTGTTTCAATTTAATTTGTGCCAAAATGAAGTGTTTTAATGCAGGTTGAGTGAGATTCCCTGGAGACTAGGACTTGGAACAATGGCTTCAAACTACAAGAGAGGTGATTCCATCTGAACATGAGGAAGAACTTCCTGACTGTGAGAGCCGTTCAGTAGTGGAACTCTCTGCCCCGGAGTGTGGTGGAGGCTCCTTCTTTGGAAGCTTTTAAACAGAGGCTGGATGGCCATCTGTCAGGGGTGATTTGAATGCAATATTCCTGCTTCTTGGCAGGGGGTTGGACTGGATGGCCCATGATGTCTCTTCCAACTCTTTGATTCTATGATTCCTTTACATGAAAGATTTGGGATCAAAGGTTTATCAGATTTTGGAATTTTATTGTATTAGCATTTGCAATATGTAGTGAATGAGGGATTGGGGAATGGGGGTTAGTCCACTTCCAGCGCCCACTGAGCCCCCTTTTA